GCTGATAGACTGTGGAGTAAACACACATGTGTAGTCAGCCTTGGCTAGGTAAATAGTGGTCAGAAAGTCTGCTTGTTCTGCCATTCTTTCTGAAAAAGTTGGTGCCTCGTTATCACTTTGTCAATAAACTCCCATTCTGTTTACTTTGGTTTTATTCTTACTCACTTGTTCTTGTACAGCAATTTTTGCCTGTCTGGTTCTTGTCGGTTATAATTCTGCACCAATATGTTGCTGTGCCTGAATGTAATGTGTCCTCTGTCTAGGGAGTCCGAGTATATGGGCGATCAGCCTAGAAGAGAGAGACAAACATGATAAGAAATTTGACACCCTCTCTCCATCAATGGGCTATGTATCTGGTAAATAAATTGACCAAAACATTGTATTTGCTTAACATTACAATGATGGTCATCTGTTCAATTCACTGAACAATTTGCTGTCTTTGTTTAGGGGAGCAAGCAAAGAAGTTTTTCCTTCAGTCAGGGTTACCTCCTGCAGTTTTAGCCGAGATATGGTATAAATGGATTTTAAAGTGTAATATGTGCTATATGTTTGATTTATCCATTTCTGATACAAATGTTTGTTTTTTTACCTTTGAAATAAAGGGCGCTGGCTGATATGAATAAAGATGGGAAAATGGACCGATTAGAGTTCTCTATAGCCATGAAGCTGATAAAGCTCAAACTGCAGGGTACACCACTTCCCTCAGCTCTACCAATTATTATGAAGCAGCCCCCTGTGCCTGTGCCCACGCTTACAGTTCCGACCTCCACAATGACTGCCTCCACTTATGGTACAGTAAAAATGTTTTAACTTAAACTAACCATGACTAATATTACTAAATTAATTTGTTACACTCAACCTCTATAATGTTCCTGTCCATCTAGGTTTGATGAATATGCCTATGATGCCTGGGACAATCTTGACTCCCCTTGCAATGGGGTCTCCTGGTCTTACACCTATGGGACTTAGCCCTTTAGTCCCCACAGCCACAGGTCTGAGTCCACTTATAGCTGCTGGTTCTCCCAGACCCCTTGTGCCCACTTTAGGCAGTGGTGGTCTACCAAATGGCGGTCTAGGCCTCCTTCAACCCACTCCAGCTGGAGCGATGTCCACAGGTACATAATACATATTCTCTATATATCTATCTCATAGACTGTATATATGAATGGACATAGCTAACGCGCTAGCCGCCGTGTTCCAAATAGGAAGTGCGCCAAGTGGCTTTTCTGGTTCCTTCTGACCCTGGCTCCTTTTGACTTATACTGGGACCTTGTCGCCCGTCTCTCTGTAACTGCTACTGTGAGCCTCGTCATTTTGGTGTTAAATGTTCGTATTAACCCGCTCTACATGATCCTGAATTTTGCTATTTTGTCCTTAAATCAAGATATGAACATAAATAATGGACCAATCAGATGCCTTCATTCCCCAAGATTGCTCCCACTAGCATTAGCAACACATTTGATTGACAGCTAGTGCGTTTCGTTGCTAAGCAAGCCCCCTTCCTGCTTTCCGGTGAGAAGGCCGGGCACATTTAACAACCTCAATCATGATTGGCTTTTGCAGTTGCTATGATACTTGCGGTTGGATTTCCAAATATGGAGCCTGGCTCCAAATTCATTCTGTTGACAAACTGTTGACATCAGGAGCTTCATTTGAGTGGAACTGAACACTGGGTGAAGTCACACTCGCTTAGTTCACTTCTTTTATACAGTCTATGATCTGTCTATGATCATACAAGTTAGATACTACTGTAATTATAATGTAATTTGTATTTCAGGCCTCCCGTTGACAACCTCCTCCTATTCTTCTCCACTCGTCCACTCCTCTTCCTCAGCTGGAACCAACACACCCTTGCCACTGCTCAACTTGGGATCCAACAGGTTTCAGAGTGTTTCTATATGGTGTTAGAAATCTATATAAATACTAGATTTATGTACTCATCCTGAATCCTATATTTAAATTGTATATTTGTTCTTTCAGTTCGACCCCTGTGCCGAGTGACTGGGCAGTGCCTCATGCCTCCAGACTCAAGTACAGACAGCAGTTCAACGGCCTGGACAAACAGATGACAGGATACCTCACGGGTACGGTACATGAAGCTATGTCTGGAATGCAGGCGTGGAAGAGAGATAGTGTAATGGTTTCTAAAGCCACCACCTACATTTCATGTGTGCCAAAAGTGAAATTAAGCTGGTTTTCTCTAAGCAGAGATGTAGTAACTGCAGTAAGTGTGGGTGTGTTTAGAAAGAATGGAAGTTGGTCAATAGGCATTAACAAAACTAAGACTACATCTGCTTTTCGTCTTGCTACTGTAACCTTGTTCAACCAGTCTCAGTGAATGGACTTTAATCTAATGTAAAGAAAATACGTATGTAGAATTTTCAGGTTTTTTTCAGTATTTGAGAGCAAATGGCACAATATTCTGCCCACAAAATATACAATTTAATTTAATGCATTTATATATATATATATATATATATATAATATATAAAAACATTTTCCCCACTGCAGTAACATCCATGTGTCTTTAGGTCAGCAGGTGCGAAGTGCCATGGCAACCACATTCCTAACTCAGGCACAGCTGGCATCTATCTGGTAAGTGTATGTTTATGTACAGTGCATATTAACAGTCATTTACTTTTACTTCACTTGTACTTTCAGCATGTCTGTTATGTTGTTTATTCTAAGCCTTTTTGCTCCCACAGGACATTAGCTGATGTTGATAAAGATGGCAAGCTAAAAGCAGAGGAATTTATTTTGGCTATGCATCTTGTGGATATGGCAAAGTTTGGACAGCCATTGCCTCTTACGCTGCCAAAGGAGTTGGTTCCTCCATCACAAAGGTCTTTATTTTATATAATGCTATAATTATATTACATTTGTTTATAAACCTTTTATATGTGTCTATAAAATATAACAAAAATTTGAATTAATTCATCATTTATACAAAATGGTGAGGTATAATACTATCATAAAAACACACATAAATAGTTGTAGACACAACCACATTTACATTTAGAGACATTTCCTTGAATAGATTTTTTTTTTTTTTTTTTTTTCTTTTCATCTTCATTATAAAATTTTTGTAATAGAATATTTCATTTAATGGCTTTCCTTTAACAGGAGTAGTATGAATGGCACCTCTTCTACTGTAGTACCTGTGGCTTCTTTGATTGATGACTTTGATGTAGAACCTCCTCAGAAAAACAAGATGAACAGTGAGAGATATTTTTATTTATAATATAAAAAACCTATAGTGCAATCATAAATAACCTAATGATTTTTGTTTTTAGTGAGTTTTGAGGACAAATTTAAAGCAAACTTGGAGCGGGGCAATGCTGAACTGGAGAAGCGACGACAGGCTCTGCAGGAGGCAGAGAGGAGAGAGCAGGAGCGCCGCGAGCAGCTGAGACGAGAGGAGCAGGAGCGGAAAGAGAGGGAGGCGCGAGAGGCAGAGGAGAAGAGGAGAATAGAGGAGGAGAAGAGACTGGAGAGACAGAGGGAGCTGGAGAGGATCAGAGAGGAGGAGCGCAAGAAGGAGATTGAGAGAAAAGAGGTGAATAAGTTGTGTATCACTGTAGTAGCTGTCAAAACGGTTTCAGATCCTAAATTTCAATTTCATTATGCACATGTTATTCCAAAATAATAGTACTACTACACTAGGTCATATATAGATGAAAATCATTTTAAAACTATTTAGGAAAGCTACAATTTTTGCCTATTCATGTAATTTTTGCAGTATTGATAATTGTTCAAATTAATAACTACTGTCAATACTGTTTTTAGTGTCATTTGGTATCTGGGTATCTTTTTTTGACAACTTAAGTAGTAGTAAGCATAGTGTTGTTCTGTTTGCTCACATTCAGGCTGCACAGCGGGAACTGGAACGCCAAAGAAAAGAGGAGATGGAGCGGAGAAAGAGAGGAGAGCTGCAGATAAAGAGAGAGCAAGAGCAGGATGACATCATCAAATTAAAAGCAAAAAAACGCAGCCTGGAGATGGAGCTGGAAGCTGTGGTAAGTTCTGAAAAAGACAAACTATGAAACTGTATTGTACATTATATTCCTTTTTAAAAGGTTTTTGCTCATGTTCGTCTTCCAGGGTAACAAGCACAAGCAGATTGAAGATCGACTACGTGATATTCAAAACAGGAAGAAGCACCAGAAAACTGACCTTGATGTAACTAATCAGAGGAAAGAAGCTTGCCAATTGGATATTGGCAACATACAGAGACAACTTGAAGTGGGTTTTGGCTACATATCTAGTTTGATTTTGTCTTAATAATAATGATAATAATAATTATAATAATACTAATAATCCTACTACTACTACTTCTACTACTACTACCACTACTACCACTACTATCACTGCTACCACTACCACTACTACCAATAATAATAATAATAATAATAATAATAATAATAATATACTTTGTTGTTATTATTATTTAGAGTGAATATTTTGCCCACTCCACCTTTCTTCTGATAACTGATACCTTTTCTTTTGATCAGGAGTTTCAAAGGAAGTTAGCTCAGTTGAATCCAGAGCAACGGAGACTCTCAGAAAAACTAAAAAGCATGGCTCTTAATTCACCTGGTTTGTCTTTATAAAATTACTGTGATTATATTGTGTATTTAATAGAGATAAATACATTTCCTCCTATGTGTCAACAGGGTCAACTGTGTCCACACTGAAGCTAAACGTCAATGAGAAAAAAGGAGTATGTATGAAACTGCGAGATCAACTTGATGCTCTGGAGAAAGAGACATCTGCCAAATTAGCTGAGATGGATCAATATAACAAAGATTTGCAGGTAATGATGTATGTGTATGTAAAAATCTTGATGTGTTGTATATGAGTATTATATTATTATATTCTGGTTATCTATTTAGTACCATTTACTATTGAACTAACATAATGGATCTTGGTTTTGGTTCATAATCCTTACCTGTTTCATCGCATTAATCACTAATACAAAAAAATGTGTAATGTCTTGCCTATGGTCTTTTCTCTACTTATCATTTAACAGTCAACTGTTTTTCTTTTACCTTTTTCTTCTCTTGATTTTTCTCTGCTTGGTTTTCCTCTCACCTATCGCATATCACAGTGTGTGGGTGCGGAGGAATCTATGCTTGAGGCTGTCTTTTATCTACTGGCCTGCCTCCGTAACCTCTTCTACCTACTGAAGGTTTTCTTTCAAAGCTCTTCATTGTACAGAAATATTTTCACCCCCTAACTATTGTGCTCGTGTTTTGTGTGGTTATAATAAAATGTGTTGGACAATTAGCAATTTGTTAAAACTGGTTTGATTTATTGTTCTATTGTATTTTAGGAATTAAAGGAGACACAGAGAAGACAGCAGGAAGCTTTAGAAAAACTACGGAGCATCAAGGAGGAGAAGAGGCGTGAACTACAATTAAAGAAGGAGGAAGAGGAGAAGAGGCAAGAGGAGGAGCGCAGGCGCAAGGAAGAGGAAGAAGCTCAGAGGTATTTACTTTTGCAATAGTACTAGGGGAGTACAGTTTAACAAATAACGCAATGTCCAGCTTTAAGGATCTCACAAAAGAAAAGATGCTTCACACCCCATTTACCTACACCTTTTTCCATTCCGCCGTCTCTCCAGGTGGGGCATTACAACATCAACGTCAGCATCATTAACATGTTTTATTAGCACTTTTTTTTAGAGCCCGACCGATATATCGGTTGGCTGATATTATCGGCTGATATGGGCAACTTTAGGCATATCGGCTATCGGCCGATATGCTTGCTGATAGGGGCCGATATTTCACGTGGGCATGTTATACCTCGTTATAAAGCTTAGACTCTCTACATTCTGTTCATTTAATCCAATTTACAGACAGATAAATGTCCTAATATGTGGCTCCACATACTGTCCCTGAACACACCAGAGTCGCGTCACTCACGTGCGTTTGTTTACACCCGCAGACACAGATCCAAACACTGAGATTATATTCTTTTTACGGACAATCGGTTTGAGTCTGGATTAAAAGGACATTTATTAGTGCAGATTTGTGATGTGAGGAGGAGCCTGTATTAGCGGTGAGTGTTGGAAATATGTCGACTCTGAAGCTAGTTTTTGTCATTTGTTATGGGTTAGCTGCTGTAGCTCCCGAACATAAATAGACTGTTTTCTATTGGTCTGTTCTAAAGTGACTATATTGGCCGTATATTTGTTACTGGACCTGCACTGATATGTAAATGAGCTGTGAATAGAGGTGTGAATTATGACATTTGCACATATAATTAATTACCGCGGCGCGCACGTATTTACGGCTAAAGGCTAATAGCGCTACTTTCTTTACTAGTTATGGGTCCGTCGCGAACGAAATGACTCTTAGAACGACGGGAGCCTGATCCTTATTGGGAGCCGTGTTTTCTCTTTCTCTCACTTTTTTTTCTCTTCACGCCGCGTGCAGACTCGTGGTTTGACAGCGGCAGCGGCTAAAAATGAAACTTTGAGAAATTTGCGTGTACGTAGGATTAAAAATAATAATAATAAAAAAAACGAGCATATTTGACTGTAGTTTAGCATAAAATAAATAAGTCCCGGTTTAGTCCTTTTTCAGTCCTGGTTCAGACCGGGTTCAGTCCTGATTCAGTCCTGCTTTAGACGTGCTTTAGTCCTGCTTGCAACAAAACAATCTGAAGAGCCACTTGGGAGCCAAAAGAACCAGCAGCTTTTAGTGAGCCGAGCCAAAAGAGCCGGTTCTCTAAAAAGAACTGGAATACCCATCACTAGTGTCTAGAATGTGATGCAAAAATGCCATTAAGTCAACCTACTGTCTGTAAATATGATGTAAAGAGGCAGAATAACAATAAATGTTGCCTAAATAAACCCAATTTAAAATCCACCAGAGCCAAACCTAAGTTTTTTAAACAATTCAACATTTACAGTGAATTTTTACATCACTAAATATATCGGTGATTATATCGGCTATCGGCAGCGCCAACTCCCATTATATTGGTTTCATATCGGCCACAGCAAAATCCATATCTGTTGGGCTCTACTTTTTTTTAACAGCATGATTTTGTTACATCATAGATCATCAGATATAGATTTTGTAAGAATTCTTGTACACATAGTATCTAGGACAAAAATTTCAACAGTTAGTGAATCATCTAGTGAATAGAGCCCTGGTGTTGAAAACAAGAAGCGCAGTAATTGCTTGTTATTATTATTATTATTATTATTATTATTATTATTATTATTATTAAACAAGACATAAGGAGCAAGAATTTATACATAACTCAAATTGAAAAATGAAACCAGAACAATTATTTGCCAATTAAATGTTTATTTGACTTTCATTGTGACATTTGGGAGAAAACACCACAGCCTTAGATCTTTTGACCTCTCTTCCTTCTCCATCTCTGCTGACATCTGCGCTTCCATCTCCAGGTTTCCTTCAGTCTCTTCAGAATCCTGAAGATCTTTGAATGCTGTTGGTTGAATGTCATCTTGCTGTCAAGTCAGTTGTAGGGTTTGGTCCAATCAGTGTAAATTGGTATTCCAATAATTCATTCTAATATATTATTTTTTCACACCTAAGTTTAATTTGAAAACTAGTAGTTTACAATTTAACTACTACTATTAATTTTTGTTTTGTAGCAGCAGTTTGGTTAAAGTTTTTAAAAAATTTTTGAAAGTCTGAAATTCCGAAAAAAAAAAAAAAAGTTAGAATAAATTAGGTTTTGACGTTTTGGTGATAGGACAGTTGCCAAAGTAACAAATAGTTGAAAACGTTGATGTGTTATATTTTCAATGGGCAAAAGTCATCAAAATGGAACTGGTTCTGGTATAGTGGTGTCATGATGGGCTTTGGTATTTAAATACTGTATGTAAGCCAGCAATTCATGTTACTTTGCTTCTCCTCTGGTTCTTTGACATTCTTCTAATGTTCAGGAAATTTAAAGTTCTCCTGTCTCTTAGATCTGCCCATCACTGGCTCTTTGGCTTTGGGCATAACTTTTGTCTTTTTTTTTCTGGTTTTGTGCGCTTCTTAAGCAAAGTTAGTTCTCTTGGACATTTTTAGTCTTTAGTGATTGTTTGTGAAGTCTAACTGAAGGTTCCAAAGTCTTTTTATGGGCCAGGTCTACTTGGTCAGTTTGAGACTCACACGTCACCCCTACTGAAGCCACTTTTTCAGATCTATGATATTAGTGCTCGTCTTAGCTTCTGCTACTTTACTGAAGGCTTGTAGGCTCTCAGAGGTTAACCTTCTTCAGGCTCCAGAGGAACTGAAGGAAGTTCTGCCAGTTCAGGACATTTCTGTCCATCCAGGACTCCATGGTCATCAGGATGATCTATTAGTGATCATTTCAACTTTTTTTGCTTTTTGATGTCGGCCAGTCATTCTTCATCAACTCAGGAGGCTTTGAAAATCCCTTTAAAATGTGCATGTCTGAAATGTGCCTTTCTTCAGGTTCCTCAGCATTCCTCAAATGTTGGAAGTTTAAAGTTGTCCTGCCTCTTGCATCTACCCATCACTGGTTCTTTATCTCTGGGCAGAACTTTTGTCTTTCTTGCTAGTTTTGTGACCTCTGCAGGAGAACAAGGAGAAATTATTTTGTAATGTTGGTGGCCAAGCGGCCATCATTGCCCTAACTGAAGGCATCTCAGGCTTGTTAGTTTCTTCTGGGTTCGCTGTTTTTACAGCAGCACTGATGGCAGCAACTAGAGTTACCTTCTAACAGTTACTGTTCTTCTTTTAATAAGAAATTAAGAGTTCATTTTTGACTTTGTTTGGTATAATTGGCCTGTCACTCATTATGAGTGGGTAGGGATTTTAGTGCGAGCATAGAGCTGTTTTAAACTGAAGCACTGAGTCACAATATGATAATATCGCCCAAATAGCAGGATGTTACAGTGATCAGATCAGTTTTGTTATTGTTCTTTAGCTTTGCACTTATGGCATTGTTGACAGCAAAGCCAAGACTGACACAAAACAAACTTTGTTTATAACAGACGTATTAAGCTAGAGAGGGAGCGCCTGGAGAAGATGAGAGAGGAAGAGGAACGACAGAGGAAACTCCAAGAAGAGAGAGAGGCCAAACGGAGAGAGGAGGAGGAAAGACAGAGACAGGCTCTGATCCAAGCCGCCAAAGAGGAGGCTGCCAGAGAACTTCGAGCCAAAGAGGAGGCAGAGAGAAAAAGACGAGAAGAGGCTGAACGTAAGAAACGTGAAGAAGAAGAACGTCAACGGCAAGCCGAGAAAATTAGACAAGAGGAGGAGAGGAGGAAACTAGAGGAAGAGAGACGGCAGTTGGAGGAGGAGAGGAGGAAGCTGGAGGAAGAAAGGAAGAAAGAAGAAAAGAGAAGGAAAGATGAGGAAGAGCAGCGCAAAAGGGATGAGGAGAGGAAGAGGATAGAGGAGGAGAGAAAGAGGCTAGATGAGGAGAGAAGGAGGATTGAGGAAGAGAGGAGGCGAGAGGAGGAAAGAAGAGAAGAGGAGAGAAAGAGAGAGGAGGAGCTAAGACGAGAGAGGGATGAGCAAGAACGTAGGAGACAACGGGCTGCTGAGGCTGCTGTTCGTGATGCAGAGGAGAGGAAGAAGAGAGAGGAAAATGAACAACGCAGAAAAAGAGAAGAGGAGAGAAGGAAGGCAGAAGAGGACAGAAAGAGGAAAGAAGAAGAAGAGAATAGGAGGAAAGCCGATGCTGAAGAGGTGAGGAGGAGGGCAGAGGAGGACAGGAGGAGGAAGGAGGAGGTGGCGTCTCGACAGTCATCACAGGCAGCAGGAGGAGGCAAGGTAGATGTCCTGCAAGCACTGCTTAGAGGCCTGGAGGAAAGGAAAGGTAAATACTCTGAATATTTACTTTTTATTTTAAGAATATATTTTTATATTCAGTTATTTTTGTAAGAACCACAAGGGACATACTCCAACTGTATAATTATGCTACAAGGGCTTTTCAAAGTGCAATATTGTTTTTCCTTTTTTCTTTTGTTTTTTCAGGTGGACAACCCAAGAATACCTCCCACAGAAAGTCTGCAGCTCTCACATCTTTCAAAGCTCTTTATCCGTTCACTGCACGAAACCCAGAAGAGCTGAGTTTCAATGCAGATGATATTCTTGAAGTGAGTAACAATACCTTGTACTTGCCAGTGTTTTGGGTTTTTTTTTTTCTATTGAATCAAATCACTAAAAATGTTCCCCTTTAGGTTGATGAGTCTGTTGAACGTGAACCTGGCTGGTTGTATGGTAGCAAAGACGGCAAGATGGGCTACTTCCCAGAAAGCTACGTAGAAAAGATGTCCTCAGCTAACACAACTACCCCTACTTCTGCTGCCCCCAAACTGGCCCTGCAGTCCCAGCTCTCTAGTGCCCTGGAAGCTGCCAAAGCTGGGGCAACTAAATCTGCCTTCACACCCACTCACTCTCCCCACCCCGCCCCCTTAGAATCACATGGGCAGGTGAGTGCTATACATGCATAGTTCTGACTGGCTGTTATACACACTACAACTTTTGTTTGGCTGCCTCTTTCAGAAGGTGGTGGGTAATGTCCTTGCCCAGGCTCTATGCTCGTGGACAGCCAAGACTGATAACCATTTGAACTTCAATAAAGATGATGTGATAAAAGTGCTGGAGCAGCAGGAGAACTGGTGGCTTGGAGAGCTGAACGGAGCTCAGGGCTGGTTCCCGAAAACATATGTGACTGTTCTGAGTGAGGAGGACTCTTCTGAGTATGTTCCACACATTATTTATCCCATTTGATCTTGTTTGTTTTTGTAGCCTTTTATTCTCCCCAAACCCTAACCCAGTCCAAAAGTTATGTTTACTTATGTTTGTTACTTTATTGAGTAATAATAATCAAGATAAAGCTATATTTTTATTATGTGTGTGTTTTTTTGTTAGTGCTAAGAGTTTATCAGCTGAAAGTTCAGATGCAGGCGATAACCAGCAATTTGAAGGTAAGCAAGCTTTATGATGTCTGTTGTCTTGACATTTTCATAATTTAAATGTTTAAATGTTTTTTGTTAATCCTAGAATATGTGGCACTGTACACGTATGAGTCCCCTGAACCCGGAGATCTCACATTTAAAGAAGGAGATGTGATTCTGGTTTCTAAAAGAGAAGGAGAATGGTGGAACGGTTCCATCGGTGACAGGACTGGCCTGTTTCCAAGCAACTATGTCAAACCTAAAGAAACTGATGTAAGACTTTTTTTTGTCACGCATTTATTTGGACGCATATATTTAGGGCTAATCAGTTTGGGGTTTTTTTCCACATTAACATTACTTGTTATTTTTTATCGGCAGACATCAAGTGTCTCTGGGAAAGGGAAAAAGCCAGGTATTGATTATAATTTTATAAGCATACATATTTAAGTTTAAAAACCCTGTTTGATAGTTTTTTTATTTTTTTATTTTCAGAGGTCGCCCAGGTGGCTCGTGCTTACTCTGCAACAGGACCCGAACAGCTAACATTGGAACCCAATCAGCTCATTCTCATTTTGGGGAAAAACACTTCTGGGTGGTGGCTTGGTGAACTTCAGGTTAGTCCCTGGGAAGAAAAACAGAGAAAGAAAAAGAAAAGTTGCAGTAAATGAACCATTATTGTGTTTACAAACCCTAGGCTCGTGGTAAAAAGCGGCAGAAAGGCTGGTTTCCTGCAGCCAATGTCAAAATCCTGGGGTCCAACAGTGGCAAATCAACACCTGCCTCTCAACCAGGTGAAATACACAAAGAGATTAGGAATAATAATTACATAATTGTGAAGATATAAATTAACTTTTTAGCCTTTTTCCTCAGTCTGTCAGGTAATAGCGATATATGACTACACTGCCGCCAATGGGGATGAATTGAGCTTCTCCAAAAGTCAGCTGATCAATGTCCTGGACAAGAATGACCCTGACTGGTGGAAGGGAGAGATTAATGGCACCACAGGCCTGTTTCCCACCAACTATGTCAGATTGACCACATCCGACTCAGAGACCACTCAACTGTGTAAGTGAAATAGTAGAAATATGCCGTCCAATGCATGTAACTTTTGTATCAAATAAGCTTCTAAAACTGCTTTTACTTTACCCTGCTTTCTCACACCTCCTTACGTGTAGAATTCAATCTTGCATGCATTTTGTCTTATTAATATGTATTTATAGATCTATTTACTGTCTACTCTCTCCTCTAAACCTGCTTGCCCCATTCCTCCATTTCTTTGTGTATTTCCAGGACGATAGAAAACCCTCTTCCTCCTTACCTCCTCCTCTTCCTCTTCCTGACTCCAGTGGAATTCACTCTTGCACTCCTCTGCTGCGGGCCACACACTTGACGGCCCCATCCGTACTGTTCTTGCACCATCTACTGTATCTGAGTGTTTTTTTTTTAACCAATCAAAACAAAATAATTCATTTTTTTCCCCCTGCTTTATGAGTTTCCTTCACATTTGCTGGCATGTGAATGCTGGCTAAAGATTTGCACTCAATGCACAATTTTTCTGTCCTTTTTAAAATTTTGTTGAGACATGAAATTTGAAAATTATTTAAAATTGGTTGTCTCTGATGTACTCGGCAAACCACTTTACTGCTTTTAGTGTTGTTTGTGCATAAGCAATATTCTGTTTTGAAATGCTTTTTGTTTTCATTATGGAATACTCAATTTCAGATTTTACACAACAGAACCTCTGATCTGTGTGCTCTTTAAACTTTGCTGCACCTTTCATGTGTTTTGCCTTTTTAACTTTTACAAATCTTGAAACATTTTTTGAGAAAATCTTCTCAGGATTTTTAAATCAACAAAACATCTATGCAAAATCTGTTTGCCTTATATGACCTGCCTGATTTCTGAAACAAAAAGTGATGGCCTCATCAATACCTTTATTTTCTCAAGATAATTTCCATCAAAAAACATTGCTCTAGGGTTGTAAAGGGTTGTAATAGTTATTGTATATAAAATTATATTAATTAATAAAACATATTTAATGAAAATTAATTACCTTTTGATGTCTGGTCCATTATTCTTACACAATTTTAAGCATAATAAATTTCTGTAAGTATTTTATTTAGCTTGAAAGGAAGTTTGGAGGTCTAGTTTGAAGGTGAGGGGAAATGGCATAAAATGCCACCTCCACAATCTCTTGCTTTTGGATAAACAGATGTTGCTGTTAAGCTTGTTAAAATGTTGAACATTTTAAGCCAGTTCAGACGGACTAAAAGGCTGCAAAGGTTCTTGGCCATACCAAAAAGCTGAAGCTACATTTGTCAGAGGAGATGTCTTCAAAAAACAGATTTAATTTTCTAAACCTTTGGGATGAGAGAAACTGTGACTGTCATGAACTGGAGGGAGCTGGCATGGACAGTTCAGTCATTCAGTCTGATTTATTCACCAGTACAGGCCAAGAGCAATGGGCTATTGTCTCAGGTAAGGGAGCAACACAAAATCCATTTTTTATCTTTTTACATTGACTCTCTGAACAACTTCAGTACTTCAGGTTCAAACCACTAGGAGGCAGCAAATGCAACACAGACTTTGGCCCTGTTTGGAATCTCTACACATGCTAAAACCAATGTGTCTGTGTTTCTGTGCGTAGATCCCAACAACTTTGACTCACTGGGTCCTCAAGAGAAAAAGCGACAAGATTATATTCAAGAACTGATTCAGACTGAGGAGAAATATGTGGAAGATCTGCAGATAGTGCTGGATGTGAGTGATGCACTGGACGAAAAGAGGCAATGCCAGTGTTGACTATCTAATGTCTTGTGCTGTTTGTAGGTCTTTTACAAACCCATGACTGAGTCCGGGCGACTGACTGAGGCAGAAATGCAGAAGATTTTTGTGAACTGGAAGGAACTGCTACCCTGTAACAACAGGCTTCTCAAGTAAATATTACTTAATCATGGTTTCCTTTTTATATACACAATCTAAGAGTTGTTTATATGTTTGTTTGACAGGGCATTACATGAACGCAGAAGCAAAGGGGGAGAGAAGGCCCCTATTCCAATGGTGGGAGATATTTTGGCCAAAGAGCTTGCTCATATGCAGCCGTACATTCGCTTCTGCTCCTGTCAGATCAACGGGGCCGAACTTCTACAGCTACGCACAAATAATGAACCTGACTTCAAGATCTTTCTCAAGGTAAGAGGAGATAGGCCATATGTTAGCAATAATATTCAGGTTATATTTAGAATTTTACTAAAATGTTTCTTTTTTTATAGAAAATTGCCACTGACTACAGGTGTAAAGGCATGCCTCTGTCCAGTTTCCTGCTAAAGCCCATGCAGAGAATCACTCGATACCCTCTTCACATCAAAAATGTACTTTATATTTTTATATTCTGCTCAACATTAAGACAGACCTTCTTTGTAATGAATATGTTTGTGTTTGTCTGTTTATAGATGCTGGAGTGCACTGCAGAGGGACACGCTGATCGGCTCCCGTTGAAACAGGCTTTAGAAAGGGCAGAGGAACTCTGTCAGCAGGTCAGCGTCTCCACAGAGATGTGCGAGGGCAGGATTATGAAGCAAACATTATTTATACATTATGTTTTTAAACAGGTGAATGAAGGTGTGCGGGAGAAGGAAAACTCTGACAAACTTGAATGGATTCAGAATCACGTCCAATGTGATGGAATTGCTGAGGTAATTTATACAGTCATACCCTAAATGTTTAAAGTAAAGTATTTTCATTTAACTGAAGTTTTTTGTTTTTACAGAACTTGGTTTTCAACTCCCTCACTAACTGCTTGGGCCCTAGGAAGCTCCTTCATAGTGGAAAGGTGCTTATTTTATTATTCATAGATTCCTATTTTGTCTCGGAATATGATGATAAAATTTGAATCAGACTTTTTCATTTGTTGGAAAACAACTGTGTATAATTATTTTTTCTTTGTTTTCAGATGTACAAGGCCAAGAGTAACAAGGAATTGTGGGCTTTCTTATTCAGCGACTTCCTTCTTTTGACTCATTCAGCAAAACAGTTCACGTCATCTGTGCCTGATAAACTGTTCAGCAACAAAAACAACACTCAGCTCAAAATGTATAAGCCGGTAAGACACATGTACATCCAATAATGTCAAAAGGACAGGGGCATGCTCCAGTCACTACCAAGATTTGATTACTATAATTTTAGTGTAATATTACTGTGAATATATTCCTGTTTTAGCCTGTCTTTCTCAATGAAGTCCTGGTGAAGCTGCCAGACCCTTCCAGTGATGAGCCTCTCTTTCACATTTCACACATTGACAGAGTCTATGTACTGAAGACGGACAACATCAATGAACGGTAACATCCGCAAAATGACAAAATAATCTTAACACTTTATAACTACAGCTTTAATGACCTCAACAAAACATGAACAAAGACTATTTTTTTCATTATGAATCATTAAGAAAGATTCAGGCTTAGTAACTATTTAAATTAAGGGGTTTGGGTTTGGAGTTAGTTTAAAGATTCAGGCACCAATTAATATCATTAGCTTTATTAAGGCAAATTAAGGTGAAGTTATTGTAGTAGTAATATTCTAAAGTTGTATTCATTTATTAGTTTTAATCTGTTATATTTTTACAGGACTGCATGGGTTCAAAAGATCAAGGCAGCATCAGAGGAGTTTCTTGAGACTGAAAAGAAAAAAAGGGAAAAGGTTTATCAAGGTCTGTCTCTACACACACATCGTATTGGGTGCTGTTTTGTGATGACACTAGGATAATCTAATGTTTGTGTTTTTGCAGCACGGACCATGAAGGGCAGTGGGATTGGCAGACTCCTTGTCACCATTTTAGAGGCCACGGAGCTGAAGGCAGCCAAACCTAATGGTACACTCATCACTGTTGGCACACTGTTTTGCATTTTACAGGCATCATACTGCAGGCATCATATGGGCTGCTTTAAATTCAGCGTTTAACCTGCATAGTACTCTCCAATGGTAACTGGAGTGGGTTAACTTAGCATAATGCACAAGTAGTTCAGTAAAGGCTAAATCACTGGTCTTTATCACTACATTGTGTGGGCACCATAAACAAAAACACACACAGTCGAGAATGGGAGAACTAGTGTCATGTGAAACTTAAAAGACTAATATCTGAGACTTTCAGGGACAGCAAACAAGCATTCTGATCAACAAATAACTTTGTGTAATCCTGATATCAGCAGATTAACCTACTTGAACCTGTGTGTTATGCAGTTTTAACGCTCTTTGCTACTGTCACATATAACACACAGCTCATCATTGTTTAATTTGTACTCACTGAATGGTTGAAGTGCTGTTATATTTATTGCTTTCTAAAGTGAGTATTTGCCAATACCAGATCTTTTTTTTTTATCTACTCAAGGTAAAAGTAACCCATACTGTGAGGTAACAATGGGATCACAGATTTTCACGTCGCGAACACTCAATGACACACTAAACCCAAAGTGGAACTTCAACTGTCAATTTCACATCAAAGACATTTACCAGGATGTCCTGTGCATCACCATCTTCGAGAAAGACCCATTTTCACCTGATGGTCAGTTATTCCCAAAATGTAAACTTGTTTGATATTGTATATTACTTGTTTAGTTATTAAGTTTCTTGTTGTTATAGAATTTCTTGGTCGCACTGAAGTTCCTGTTGCCACAATAAAAAAAGAGTTGGAGAACAAGGGTGCAGTGACGCGCCGCATTCTGCTGCATGAGGTCCCGACCGGAGAGGTGTGGGTCCGCCTTGACCTGCAGCTTTTTGGCAAATAAGACAATGACAAGACCATAGTTGGGCATCTGTTACTTCTATCTTCATGAAAAAGGTGCTCCTTGCATAGTTTTCTATCCATAGCCCATAGAAATCTGAATAATGCACATATCAAACTATAAGAGCTTCAAGTTTTTTATGCCTCAACTTAACAATACAGTTACAAATATTAATAGAGGACATGCCACAAGGTGTTTTGAGGCAAAAGAGAAGCATGGAGACACCAAGTATGTCCCAACCTCACGCTTACATATTTTAAATTACCAATGAGAGACTATATAGCAAGTAATGAAACTACTAACAAGATTATGCTGTCTTCTCCCTGGTCTGGAGGAATTGGATGGTTCATGGTTCAGTCTTTGGTCTAAACATGGCGTCTGCCTTTGGTGTCATGAGTTTGTTACTGTAGTAAATGGACAATCTCAGGATATTGGTTGACTGGGTCCATTTTACTTTTTTTGTGTGTATATTGTCATCCAAGCTTTAGCACACTAACCTTGGCCTTAATTACTATATAAACATGTTTCAGTGTATTTTTTCTACAGAAAATTGAAGAGTGAATGTTTTATCCACAGCCAAGACATTTTTCAAGATAAGATTAACTTCCTAAAAGGGACAAGACTTCAGATTGTGTACATCCTCGATAGTGTCACCACTTTAATCAGCAATAACAGTATTTTATACACAATTGCAATTTTCGCACTGAAAACTTCATCATTTACTGTCCTGTTTTTTCTGTCTTTTACCATGGATATGTTTTTAACTTATGTTGCAGGTGGTTTTGTTTTAATTGTTGCTTTTTGTCATTGAGTTGTGATCCTGTGTACCAGATATAAAGCGTATTTATTATTTAATTTATGCGTGTGTGACTATCCAAAGGTTTGCAGCATCAGTAGCTGTTTTGGGTGTATAGATGTTGGTTAGATGGATGTGTATACTTTTTGTTGTGTAATTAACCCTTTGGTTGACTTTTTTTGCCTCTCAGATGTTTAAACTCTTGTTTTAATCAAGCAAAAATAGATTTTAGATCTTTAAAATAAGATTAATAGTTATTTTGAAATTGTTATGCTTTGACTTCCTTTCATCTCTAAGGATGTATATGTTTCGTTTTAACTAGCTTTGATTTTCAGCATTAATTCATTATTTGTTAAATTTTATTTTATGACACTGACTGTTCAACCTGATGTAACCTGCTGTTTTACTGTGTTCATCACAGAAGTCCAATTAAAGGCTTTAAAAGTGAATTAAACAGCTCTGTCTTACATGACTCAGTTACAGGTGGTTTTATAGCTCAAAAATACTTAGAAAAGCAGGCATTCTGACTGTGAGCGGGGTCACCTCTGCACAGATGTGATCTGTAACTTGCTCTGGTTTAGTCTCCATTATGAATAGAACATTTAATTCCATATTGTGAAACATTACAGATAAAACAGCAACCTCTCCATGGAGAAAAGCATTTGATGGACCCTCCAACAGAAAAGTTATACAATGCACCTTTAATTAATAGGTTTGCAATAATAAGTGAGAGCAGGTTTACAAATGTATCTCTTTCAATAATTAAAACGGATTCTACTTTAAACCCTTTTAATTTCATTGCATATTATTTAAATTGTAGGCTTTCTTGGTCAAGTTTCTTAATGTGCAGTGTCTCTGGGAGCAACATCTGCTTCATAACATCTGTTTAGTAACATGCTTTAGCTGTGGCAGATGTTAAGAAACCTGCACATCCTACACATGATGACATCTACAGACACAGATACAAACTATGGTGTGTTTGGATTTTCCGTGTGCTTTTATACTGGCCTATTGTTTTATTTCTATTAGTACTGGGGAATGTGCAGCACTATGGGGCGCTGTTTTGTTGAAGATTTGCTATGAAATACGTAAATTTGACCTTGAAAATGGGACGGATGAAACATGCTCACATCATCACTCATTACACACAGTACAAAACTATAGGCTACAACTTTACACATTAACTAAACACTACATTAACACATTGGTTTTATCCGGAGAAGGCACAGGGGAGGCCATTGAGACAGGTTTGTTTTACACTTATGTTATAATTTCATTGTTTTTGTGTCCATGTTTGTTGAATATGCAGTAGAGTTCATTTGCTAAATAGGATGAAAGTGCCATTTGGGGCCATTTGTCAAAAGCCAAATTATCAAGGGAAATCCTAATTATCTTAGGAAATGCTTTCAACAATACTGTTAGAAATATGTATCAAAATTTGACCTTGACTTGAACTTAAAACCTTCTTTTGAACTGATCTGAACAATGTATTCATCTCAGGTAATTTGTTTGCCTGGCCAGCCAAAACCACATGCTTTGACTGACTGGTTATATGATTATGACTATACAAAAAAAAAACTAAGCCAGTTCGAGCCAGTGATGAGGATATATGATAACTACATTTTGACTGTCAGAAAGACGGGAAGAAGGCTACCATTTTTTTTTTATTCAAACTTCACATTTTATATAAGAACCATAAGTAAGTACAGAAGTACAGAGAAGTAGGTGGAGATAGATGAAAACAGGTGAAACCAGAATATATATATATATATATATATATATATATATATATATATATATATATATATATATATATATATATATATATATATATATATATATATATAAAAAATGTGTTTCTCACCTTCCACGGTGGTAGGTCTCTCTCACCCTCATTCAGCTCGGGTCCTCTACCAGAGGCCTGGGAGCTTGAGAGTTCTGCGCGCAGTATCTTTGCTGTTCCCAGTACTGCACTTTTCTGGACTGAGATGTCCGTTGTTTTTCCCGGTATCTGTTGTAGCCACTCTTCCAGTTTGGGGGTTACAGCCCCGAGTGCTCCGATCACCACAGGCACCACTGATGCCTTTACTTTCCAGGCTCTCTCCAGCTCTTCCTTGAGCCCCTGGTATTTCTCTAGCTTCTCGTGTTCCTTTTTCCTGATATTACCATCGCTTGGTATTGCGATGTCAACCACCACGGCTCTGCTCTGTTTCTTATCCACCACCACTATGTCTGGTTGGTTCGCCATCACCATTCTGTCAGTCTGTATCTGGAAGTCCCACAGGATCTTGGCTCGGTCATTCTCCACAACCTTTGGAGGTGTTTCCCACCTTGATCCTGGGGTTTCCAGCCCGTACTCTGCACAGATGTTTCTGTACACTATGCCCGCCACTTGGTTATGTCGCTCCATGTATGCTTTCCCTGCCAGCATCTTACACCCCGCAGTTATGTGCTGGACTGTCTCAGGAGCCTCTTTGCACAGTCTACACCGTGGGTCTTGTCTGGTGTGGTAGATCTGGGCCTCTATTGCTCGAGTGCCCAGGGCCTGCTCCTGAGCAGCCAGGATCAGTGCCTCTGTGCTGTCCTTCAGACCAGCCCTCTCAAGCCATTGGTAGGATTTCTTGATATCAGCCACTTCAGTTATGTTCCGGTGGTACGCCCCATGTAGGGGTTTGTCCTGCCATGATGGTCCCTCCAGCACCTCTTCCTCTGGACCCCACTGTCTGAGACATTCTCTGAGCACCTCATCTGCCGGGGCCTTGTCCTTGATGTACTCAAGGAGCTTGGATGTTTCATCCTGGACAGTGGTTCCCACACTCACTAGTCCTCGGCCCCCTTCCTTCCGGCCTGCGTACAGTCTCAGGGTGCTGGATTTGGGATGGAACCCTCCATGCATGGTCAGGAGCTTTCGTGTCTTAACATCTGTGGTCTGTATCTCCTCCTTTGGCCAGCTTACAATCCCTGCAGGGTATCTGATCACTGGCAGGGCGTAGCTGTTGATTGCCTGCACCTTGTTCTTGCCATTGAGCTGGCTTCTAAGGACTTGCCTCACTCTTTGCAGGTATTTGGCCGTAGCCGCTTTCCTTGTTGCCTCTTCGAGGTTGCCACTTGCTTGTGGGATACCAAGGTACTTGTAACTGTCCTCAACGTCTGCTATTGTTCCCTCTGGGAGTGACACCCCCTCTGTGTGGACTACCTTCCCTCTCTTTGTCACCATCCTGCTACATTTCTCAAGCCCGAATGACATCCCGATGTCTGTACTGTAGATCCTTGTGGTGTGGATCAGTGAGTCGATGTCTCGCTCACTCTTAGCGTACAGCTTGATGTCATCCATGTAGAGGAGGTGACTGATGGTGGCCCCGTTTCTGAGTCGGTATCCATAGCCAGTGCGGTCGATTATTTGGCTGAGAGGGTTCAGGCCTATGCAGAACAGTAGTGGGGACAGTGAGTCTCCTTGGTATATGCCACATTTGATGGACACATGTGCAAGTGGCTTCCCCTTGGCTTCAAGGGTGGTTTTCCACAACCGCATCGAGTTCGCAATGAACGCCCTTAGAGTCCTGTTGATATTGTACAGCTTCAAGCACTCAGTGATCCATGTGTGTGGCATTGAGTCATAGGCTTTCTTGTAATCAATCCAGGCAGTGCACAGGTTGGTCTTACGGGTTCTGCAGTCGCGGGCGACTGTTCGGTCAACCAGGAGTTGGTGTTTGGCTCCCCTGGTGTTTTTGCCGATACCCTTCTGTGCTGCACTCATGTATTGATTCATGTGCCCACTTATCTTAGCCGCAATGATGCCTGACATGAGCTTCCATGTTGTGGAGAGACAGGTTATTGGCCGATAGTTGGATGGGACTGCACCCTTTGAAGGATCCTTTAGGATCAGGATCGTACGCCCTTGGGTTAACCATTCAGGGTGAGTCCCATCCCTTAGCAGCTGGTTCATTTGTGCTGCCAGGCGCTCGTGGAGGGCAGTGAGCTTCTTTAGCCAGTACGCATGGATCATGTCCGGGCCCGGTGCGGTCCAGTTTTTCATACCTGAGACTCTTCCCTGGATGTCTGCCACTGTGATGGTGACTGGATTCTGTTCAGGGAGGTTGCTGTGGTCTTCTCTCAGATCCACCAGCCACTGTGCATCGGTGTTATGTGATGCCTCCCTTTCCCATATGCCTTTCCAGTACCTCTCAGTCTCCAGCCTTGGTGGGTCTGCTCTGCTGTTATTACCCTGCCACTGAGCGTACACTTTCGCCGGTTGTGTTGCGAACAGCCGGTTTATTCGTCTGGCCTCGTTATCTCGTGTGTACCTCTTTAGGCGGCTGGCCAAGGCTTGGAGCCTTTGTTTGGCAGTTTCGAGTGCTTCAGGTATGGGCAACTGGTTGTACCTCTTGGGCACTTGCTTTTTCAATGTGCTTTTTTCATATATATATATATATATATATATATATATATATATATATATATATATATATATATATATATATATATATATATATATATATATATATATATATATATATATATATATATATATATATATATATATATATATATATATATATATATATATATATATATATATATATATATATATATATATATATATATATATAAAGTGTTTTTCACCTTCCACGGTGGTAGGTCTCTCTCACCCTCATTCAGCTAGGGAACTATACCAGAGGCCTGGGAGCTTGAGAGTTCTGCGCAGTATCTTTGCTGTTCCCAGTACTGCACTTTTCTGGACTGAGATGTCCGTTGTTTTTCCCGGTATCTGTTGTAGCCACTCTTCCAGTTTGGGGGTTACAGCCCCGAGTGCTCCGATCACCACAGGCACCACTGATGCCTTTACTTTCCAGGCTCTCTCCAGCTCCTCCTTGAGCCCCTGGTATTTCTCTAGTTTCTCGTGTTCCTTTTTCCTGATATTACCATCACTTGGTATTGCGATGTCCACCACCACGGCTCTGCTCTGTTTCTTATCCACCACCACTATGTCTGGTTGATTCGCCATCACCATCCTGTCAGTCTGTATCTGGAAGTCCCACAGGATCTTGGCTCGGTCATTCTCCACAACCTTTGGAGGTGTTTCCCACCTTGATCCTGGGGTCTCCAGCCCGTACTCTGCACAGGTGTTTCTGTACACTATGCCCGCCACTTGGTTATGTCGCTCCATGTATGCTTTCCCTGCCAGCATCTTACACCCTGCAGTTATGTGCTGGACTGTCTCAGGAGCCTCTTTGCACAGTCTACACCGTGGGTCTTGTCTGGTGTGGTAGATCTGGGCCTCTATTGCTCGAGTGCCCAGGGCCTGCTCCTGAGCAGCCAGGATCAGTGCCTCTGTGCTGTCCTTCAGACCAGCCCTCTCAAGCCATTGGTAGGATTTCTTGATATCAGCCACTTCAGTTATGCTCCGGTGGTACGCCCCATGTAGGGGTTTGTCCTGCCATGATGGTCCCTGCAGCACCTCTTCCTCTGGACCCCACTGTCTGAGACATTCTCTGAGCACCTCATCTGTCGGGGCCTTGTCCTTGATGTACTTAAGGAGCTTGAATGTTTCATCCTGGACAGTGGTTCCCACACTCACTAGTCCTCGGCCCCCTTCCTTCCGGCCTGCGTACAGTCTCAGGGTGCTGGATTTGGGATGGAACCCTCCATGCATGGTCAGGAGCTTTCATGTCTTAACATCTGTGGTCTGTATCTCCTCCTTTGGCCAGCTTACGATTCCTGCAGGGTATCTGATCACTGGCAGGGCGTAGCTGTTGATTGCCTATGCCTTGTTCTTGCCATTGAGCTGGCTTCTTAGGACTTGCCTCACTCTTTGCATGTATTTGGCCGTAGCCGCTTTCCTTGTTGCCTCTTCGAGGTTGCCATTTGCTTGTGGGATACCAAGGTACTTGTAACTGTCCTCAATGTCTGCTATTGTTCCCTCTGGGAGTGAGACCCCCTCTGTGTGGACTACCTTCCCTCTCTTCTGTCACCATCCTGCTACATTTCTCAAGCCCAAATGACATCCCAATGTCTGTGCTGTAGATCCTTGTGGTGTGGATCAGTGAGTCGATGTCTCGCTCACTCTTAGCGTACAGCTTGATGTCATCCATGTAGAGGAGGTGACTGATGGTGGCCCCGTTTCTGAGTTGGTATCCATAGCCAGTGTGGTCGATGATTTGACTGAGGGGGTTCAGACAGTGAGTCTCCTTGGTATATGCCACATTTGATGGACGCTTGTGCAAGTGGCTTCCCATTGGCTTCAAAGGTGGTATATATATATATATATATATATATATATATATCTCCAGTACAGTGTAAAACACAGAGAGCAAAGGGAGAGTTTGCACGGACAGTGATGTGCCCTCACTTCCCCCGTGCTCAGCCATGGGGATGAGTTGATTATCGCCACATGAACAGTCGTCTTATGTAACATACACACAGCACAATGAGAGGACTCCGCCGGGCCCAAAACCTATAAAAGGGGCTTGTAGCAACACATCCAGAGTAATGGAGCCCCTGATAAATCTGAGGGCAACCCGTAGTGATCCAGAAGAGCAGGATAATTCATGTTACAAAGCAAGAGACAAGTCTTTAGTCTTTAGGGCATGTTTTACAAATTTTCCTAGGGTTAAATGTTTCTTCATTTACCCATCCCTATGCATGTGAAACAGGGCATCTGACATAAAACATTTGACATGCAGTGGGCCAATGGTCATTAAACAGATGTTATATTATATTACTACTTCAAGAAATGACCATACACATTACACTGTATCTGTAACATATTTAATAATTGGACACCTGTGGTTGGGCTTGGTATCCTTTTTCTCATAGATGAATCCAGTCATAAAACAACATTCATACATAATGAGATTACACAAAAATTGTAAAACATAAAACATGTTGAGATATGGAAACAAACCTTGTTATAGCAAAAAATTTAAATTGTCATTAGGGGCCACCAGCCATTTATTAGAAGGTGGAATTTGGAGCTGGTACACTCACGGTGTGTGTGATTATTGCTGAATTTTGTAAAACTGTAGCCATATAAATCTGTTACAACTTATCATCTGTATTCTATATAATGTTGTTTGTTCAAAAATAGAGTACTGAAGTTGAACTCAGGCTCCTCAGTTAGACCCTTGATGTCTCTCCCTTGACACATAATTCATATACTGTCTCAAACTTACAACTTGTGTCCCTTGCTATTTCAGAGCTGATGAACAAGAATTTCCACACTACACACTGCCAAGAGTTCTCATGTTAATATTTCAATAGCTTAGCCCACAGAGGTGCAGAAACAGATGCATTATAAATGGTAAGTGGTACATGTTTTGTACGCAAATTGCATATAGAACAATGCTTGAAAGAATGGATGAAAGAGCTATTGCAAATACATATTAGAATAGAGAAAGTAGCTGAGAGAAAACATGTCATTCTTTTGGGTGAAGTTACGTGCCACAGGGTCAAGTGGAATGGCACGATGACTAAAAAGATGATTAAAAACAGGTGCAGAAACAAGTGAGCATGGAGACGTGTCCAAAAAAAAAGAAACAATAAATTACTGAAAATGTTAACTTAAAGATGGAGATGTTATTGCTGTTTGTAATGTTCCATGGTATGACATTAAACATTAATTGATTATGGGTGTTTCTGTTGCTCAAAAATATAATAATATTCCTTCTGTAAATAGGGGTGACTCTCCACAGATCTGATTTGTAATGTAGTGTAGTTTTGTAACCTGCTTGTCTCTCTTATGATAGAGAGGTTTAATCTATACTGTCGAACATATTAGACAAAGCAATAACATTTCCATGGAGACAAGCAGGTGGTGGACCCTCCATTAGAAATGCAGTGCACCTTTAAATGCACCTTTAAATATAGGGTACAGATGAGTGAAGATTGGATTTGTTATTTACTAGCAAGCTTGTTTATTGTGAAACCACATCAACTAAAAATATGTACAAATAAGAAAAAAATCTTCACTGGTTTTGTCTCACAGTAGTGCTCATATTAGGTTGCGTCTAAGGTGATAGGGATAGAAGCTCTTTGTTTCATATTGTTTGGGACCTGTTGTGACATAATCCCCTTGTCCACTAAAGCACTTGCTGCTTTAAACTAACCCATTTACTTCTGCAACATCAGCACAAAAATAACTTGCAGCGTGACAGGTTCTCTGATAAAATTTTCATAAACACGTTCTGATATAAAGTTATTTTTAGAGAGTTGTTGATTTAGCTGTACAGTCTTGAACTTGCATTAGCTCCCATACACTTACAGCACAGGACAGGCATAAAAAGTCATTCATGTGTAAATACAGCGCATACCCAAATGCTACAAATTCTCCACAATCCCTGAACAACGTTTGCATAAAATTTACCTTTCCATGAACCATTTTAAACATTTATGTTAAATCCACCTGCACACCAAAAGCACTTTTTACTATCAACATATGTTTGTTTTTTTTCCTAATCATTTTTAATTGAGACAAGTTTATGGCACTTTCACTGAGTAGATGCATTTATTCTGAGTGGATATAAGTTGAATTAGAATATTATCTTTTTTTTTAATGTGAGAGAGCACCATTGGTTCATTTAGCCAAATAACCATAATGTGGCTCATACCTCAAAACAACTCACTCACAAAACATTATTAACTGTGTGAAACAAAAATGACTGAATATCCTCTTCTCTCTCCAATTTCTCTCTCATCTCCCTCTCTCGCTGCCTCTCTCTTTCCACTATCTCTCTCTCCCCCTCTTTCACTCTTCTCCCTCCTTGTCTCGCTCCTCTTTCACTCTGTGTCCACTATCTCTCCCTCCCTCTCTCTGCATGTGCACATGATTGGTGGTAGTCATAGGCAGCATGTAAACTTAAGTGAGTGTGTTGGAGGGAAGGACCAATGGAGCTGCAGATGTGGGTCTGTCATGTTCACTTCAGCCCTGACCTCAGCTGTACAAGTCTATTGCTCCTGACAGTCACACAGGGCCATTGTGCAAAGCGGGATCTTTCATTTAGAGGAAAAGAATAAAGAAATGGAGTTATGCAGTTGAATGTGTCAGCCACATGAAGATGGCGGAGATTTATTCTTGTAATTACACAGTTAGTGTTGTTTTTCTTTGAGGGAAAGCAGAGGAGATAATAGAAGAGGACAGCACAGGGGAGGAGAGAGCTGAGTGCAAAGAGCACTAGTGTCCAGAGCCAGAGGAGACCCAGGAGCACGAGGAGCAACCCAACCGAAGCACGCCGCTGGAGGAGGACGAGAGGAGGCAATTTTAAATGGACTCTTGACAAGACCACAAGGTAAGGAATAGGCTTCTCCAGATGTTGACTTGAGCTTTAGAAAATAAAAACACAGCAGAGAAGAAATGCTTTTGTCTTCTTTGATTCAGCCTCTTTTGAGGTCACTCAGGAACAATGCAGAGCAAAAAAAGGCCACTGTCACTGCACATTACTGTCACAGTCAAAACACAAGCAGGGCAAATACGCTTTAATGATGAGCGCCTGACTCCTCTGTCTGTTCCAGTCAGCCAGAGCCCATTAGAAAGGGTGGGTTTCAAAAAGAAGGCAAATCTAACTGTGTTTCTGTACATCTTGTATTAGAGGAGTAATGTCTTAAGAGCACAGCTCCAGACAGCGTCAGCAGCAGCTTGTAAGAAATGGGCTTGGGGCCAAATGGTTCATACTAATGTCATTACATAACTCTATGAGCAGCTGATTGAGAATTTTGGCAGGTCTTTCCCTAAATGATCTCAGTGTGATACTAATGAACATCTGCGCAACATGTTCTTTTAAACTATAAAGCCAACAAAGTGTGATTAAGTAAGTCATTTATCCTGTACATTCTTAACAGTGTAGCTGTTGAGTCAGTGCCTGCCCTACTGTGGCAAAAACAAATAGTCAACAAAAAGTCTTTGTCAATGCCAATATTTCTATAAAAATAAACAAAAAATATTTTCAAAATTGGTGATAAGAGGTCACCCAAAATAACCTTTATTTGTCCCATTCCAAAGGCAGTGACCAAGGCCTAGAGAAGGGCACTCTTTACCTGCAGCGTCCACCAGCGTAATTCCTCTGAGAATCAGTGCAGCTAGCTTGGCTTTGAGCTCGGCATAATGTGACAAGTTCTATGGACTAATGCACACTGTTAGTGCTGAGGCTTTACCGCAGGTGTTTAATACAAACTAATGAAAAGAAGGACAGACAGGTCTCTGTATGTTTTCTTTTACCTCACATTGTACATCATTTGTCAATAAACATTTGACATTCAAAGTTTATGAAAACAAGCACTAAAGGCTATAACAATGAAAGCTGTTCAAATTCAAACAAAAATATAGCTTTGAGGCATGTCTGAGCACACAGGAGTACATAGCATGTCTAGACAGAAGAGTATAAGAGTGAATGTATTTACTGGTATTTAATTCAAGAGGTGGAGATTATGTAGCTATAAAATATACTGCACATGTACTGTGTGTTTTTGCAGTACTTTGAACACAACACAACTGAAAATGTCTTTGTCCATCTCAAAAGAAAAACACTGAGATTTTTTAATGTTTGATTTTTATATATTAGATAGAGGTTTATAACCTGTAATAGGGACGATCTGTGTAGAGGGTCCTTAAGTGTCTTACAATTGTGCTGGTTAATCTCATTATTTAATACATGATGGCAACAGAAAAGCAACAACTATCAACATGTCCTTTGAATTGTGTGATACAATTAATTATTATTAATGATTGTTTAATGTGTTTCTATGACGTGTAACTTTTGCAGAGAATCAGGTCTTTTGGGTTGTTACCATGAATGCAACAGTAGGAAGTCCAACTATGGAGGAGAAGATGGACATGGCCTTGCTTAGCAACATTCTGGCAGCATACACCTTTGTAGCAGGTAGATTTCACTTTGAAAACATAGGTCTTTATTAGACTGATAAGATGCCTGTGCTCCTGCAGAGCAGCCTGAGAGGACAGCGCTGGTGTTTTTGGGCGGAGTTTGTGCAGGGCTCCTGCTCACTCTTTGTGCCATAGTCTTCCAGATTCACTGCAGAGCGGACTGTCACTATGGCAATAACCCTCCTAAGAAGAGACATAAGTGCAGGCATCCTCGACGCCTCCCCGGCTGTCCACTCCATCAGCACCCTGACAGTAACATGCACAACAGTGTGGTCCCATATGGGACAAGGCCCACAGGGGACAGCGAATCAGGGGACTGGGATGAATCATGTGACGTGTCTGCACAGCGACGCAGGCGCTTTGAAAGGACTTTACTGAATGCTACCATGTTTACATCAGCAGAGGGTAACACTCCTTTGTGATTATTTTATACCTCTACATGGAGGTGTGAGTCCCACCCTGTCATCTTAACTGTCAAATGACATTAAGATCTTTGTGTTTCAGAGCTGGACCGAGCACAGAGACTGGAGGAGCGGGAGCGAGTTCTCAGGGAAATCTGGATGAATGGACAGCCGGACATCAGAACTGTCACTCAGAGCCTCAACAGATATTATTAACATACTCTTTATCTCCAGTAAACACCAGCAACTGTGTCAGTAATCACTGACCATGCTCTTATGCAGGTATAGTTACACTTTAGAGGACTATTTGGTAGCATCGACTCTGGCATATTTTTGTTGCTGAATATGTGGGATAAAAAGGTGTTCCTGGTCAAGCAACTCTCTTTCGTATATTGGCTACTTTTTGAATAATATTTAAGTCAGTAAATTGGAGCCCATTAGAACTGTCTGGTTAATGTTTTGCACATTTACAAACTCCCAAAAATGGAAGTTTCAATATGAATTAAATCATAAAGATTATCACTAATATAGTATAGGAATACTGTATCAACATGCATTGCAAAGAGACAGGTTAACATTTAGGCTGTTTTTATAGATACACTGATAGAACTTGTGCATCTGTGCCCTCTAGTGGCAGCTTGGATATACTGCGTATTGTCAGATTCTATAAAAGTTCCAGCAGAAAGTATTCATCTGTCTGTGCTTGAGTGTACTGATAACACTGTGAGTCTCTGTGAGCAATGAGTTCCTGAGGAGTGCTTGCACAAAATAAATCTTGTTTTCTTACAATTCTCAACACAGTAAGTGTATAGCCTTTGTCTAGATTTGGAGATGAAACCAAATAATAAATTTGTCAAAAAAGTATTTTTCTGCCACACAGAAGACATAAACTGTTTTGTCTTAAAGGAATTGGCCAGGTCCAGAACAAATAGGAACGAACAAACTAAGAAAATGCTATGACACACCCAGTGGAAAGTAGCTATCACTGAAAACAAAACTACAACTTTAACTATAGTGTGTCTTAACTTAACCTAAATGTGTATAGATTACAGGTCCTGTATTAGTATTAAAATTGACTTGTTTGAGCTTTTAACCATGTTATTGTTGCCTCCTCAAAAAATACCTGGAGTTGTGCTTTGTTTCATTCACACATGTTTAAATAACCATTTATTATTAGTTTGTGTACATCTCCAAAGTGCTCTGTTCCATCTTGAGGTTATGAAGTGATAGTTTTTTAGTTAACAGCTATCTTTTATGTTTAGTTCAGTAAAGATTGGTAATTCCGGGACTGAAATAATTCAAATGTTTCTAGTGAAGGGGCATGAAGTTTAAAGACACAGTGAAGCACTTCCTCCGCCATATTACCACATGACATCACAAGGTGGAACAGTATTTTCTGCTTGAGAAAAGAACTCAGCCTAAATATGCAGGATTTGTGGGTTAAACAGGTGTGAATGAAACAAAACACAACTCCAGGTCTGTTTATGATGAGGAAACAACACAACATACTCTACATCAGAAAGTATAAGCCTTTTAATAAAAGCTATAAAACTCACACTAATACCTTCCTTTGCTTACATTAGCTTATTTTTTGTGTGTGAAACATGCACCTTGCTAAAATTATTGGAAAATCTAATTAAGAGCATCCACGTAAAGCTACAACTGAATGCATGAGACCTATGCCATGTGTGTCAGTTTTTTTGGCATCAGCATCTCGGCCATAGACTGTAGGTTACTTGTACTTGTATTTAAAATATATGTATATAGACTTCTTTACATAGTCTATGATCCCGAAACACTTTTCTTACGATTGGTAGTTGCAAAAGTCTGCAGTGCTATCTCTTTAACGGGACGCTGTGACGTTGCGGTGGGGCATAGAGCGGGCTACTGCAGCTGGACCCCTCCCGAACCGCGCCAGGTCCCGGCCCTGTTCTACTGCTCTGCCCGCCACAACACAGGGAGGTCCGGGTGTCCTGTCTCATCCGGCACCATGAGGGACTACTCCACTCCCGCCGATGGAGGAGCCTGCATGTCCTGCTGCCAAGTTTGCGTCTTCGCTGTTACCGCACTCCTCATTGTCGCAGAGAGGACGGCGCGTGAGTCCTACCTGGGACACGCACATATTACGCACGCACGAAGACACACGCACAAACAGTGGAGCAGACTGAGGACATCAAACGGGCACAACAGCAGTAGCATGCTTGTGCGTGATAGAGAGAGGGGGGTTAAACCATTTGTTTTGTCAAATAATTGTTGATATATGTGACAGTGTAAATTCACTTATGGTTTTCTGTAAGTGAAGTTGATTGGCTATTGGCCTACTTTATGACTGAGTCGAAATCTGTTTTATCTTAATGCGGTATATTTCTACACTGCGTTCTGGCGCACTCTAAACTGCAGACTCATGTTAATGATATATGCACTGCAGCAACAGTAAGAGTCTACATTTCCACATATTAGCGCCTTTTTGGAGACTCTCATGGGCGGACCCCATGATGGAGCCTCAGCCCTGTATCCCGCCTGTTTGGCAGCTGTCCTGGTTCAAATTACACGAAGCAAAGGAGAGTTCCAGACTAACAGTGACGGGCTTCCATGATGGGGCAGATGGGGCAAACGTTGTAGAATGATGCAGGAAAGATTTTGTATGGGGTGGTTACAGCAAGGTCATTTGGAATAGAAAGCTGCCAAGCAATGGTATCTCCATATTGCAAAGGTTCATGTATGAATTAAGTCTTATCGTGGAAATAGCTAAGCCTATATAGCCCATTTAGAAAAAAATATTAAAAAGTGTATTATGTTTTTATTATTAATCCTTTAATTTATATTTTTAGATTAAGTTGTATCTGACAGGGACACATTAGTGGGACTAGGCCTATATCATCAGTTTTGTAATTCTTCAAAGATAAGTTTATTTTTGTTTACTGACAGTAAACCTTTTTACATTTGTGTATGTTGGGCTGTGTGTGCTAAAGTTGCAGTATGTATCTGTCACCAGAAAAGTTGCATAGTGCCCCTTCCTCTGTTGTTAATGAAACATTATCTCATCTTACCTTGTTTACCCAGTGATCTACTGCTTTGTTTACTATTTGTGGATTGGTCACAACTACTGCTATGCTCATCTGGCTGGATTGACTGCACTGCTCCTGCTGCCAGGTGATCACACAATACTCACCAACATGATGAAGTTACCTGGCAGTTTTATAGGCCTGTGTTTTCTTTTCTTTTTTTTTTTTATGTATTACAATCCTCTGTTACAATCTGTAGGCTGTGCTCTGTATTGTGCCTATTTATGAAATGCGATGTATGACTAAATCCTCTTCTTCCTTATGGCTTATTTTGAGGATGGGGTCCACAGTGGCTCAGCTATCTTTGGTACCTGTCAGACGGTCGTATTCGCAGGAAATCTCTTACTTGGACACACATACTACACCTTGGTATCTTCAAGAGGTAATAATAAAAAGTATGTTTAATTTATTTATATAAATTACCTTAAACCTGCCTCACAGTGTACCGCTTGTATTCCCTCAGGCTGTGGGAGTGCATGCGTCTTCCGGACATTGATGCTTATGGAGAAATCATGCAGCAGGCGGATGTATCAGCTTTGCGTCTGTTTGAAGCTCTTGTGGTCACCCTACCACAGACGCTGCTGCAGACCTATGTCCTCATCTGCACCGATATTGGCATCAAGTCTCCAAGTAAACTGCTTTGTCATTGAAACAATAAGCATATGGAATAGAAAGCTAAAACCATACTTAGGAACATTCTCTAAGGAAATAGATGGATATAGAATAGATTTATGCTATACTTTAAAAGATTAGAGCCAGAGGAACAACATTCTAAAGGAAACAAGCAGTGGGAGGCCCTTCTCCAGGCCAAATAAGAGTCAGGCTTGTGGAGATGTGAGCTCGTTCAGAGTAAGGACACATGTTTTTCAGTACAATAAACACACACAAAATGAAAAAAAAAAAAGACTAAAACATTACATACTGTGGCTTTAAATGTGCACAATGTAACTTTACTTAGCTACTACCTCCTTTGGCGGCATGGTAGCTGTGTCAACACTGCTTATGCCTCACAGCAAGAAAATCCTGAGTTCAACTTCCAAGCTGCTGGGCCTTTATATGTGGAATTTGTATGTTTCTCAGCGTATTTTGGAGAATTTATTTCAGGCACTCTACTTTCCACAAACAACCAAAAATATGCACAATAGGTAAAAATCCTTCAGCTAGGCCTACTTCAAAATCTGGAGATGGGTTCTCAGTCATGGCACTACACAGCTTACTCTCCTTGACCATAACATCTCCATAGAGACAAGTATGTGGCTGACCTCCAATAGAACAGTTACACAGTCCACATTTTAAGTGGGTGTTTGTGAAGGCTATGTGTCTACTAGTCAAAATATTACATTATTACATAATCACCATAAAGTACTACCGGCAACTTACAGTATGTGGATCTTACTCTACTTAAAAGGTGTATACATAACTGAAGATATTTTCCATTTTTGGGCTGATTTAGTTGTGATTTATATTTGTTCTGAGGTGCACCACAAGTTTTAAATTTAAGTTTTAAACATGCATGTTTCCTGTCCCCCAGCCTCCGTGTGCTTTGCAGTGTGTGTGCTGTCTCTAGCCTGGGCGTTGGTCCTTTATGCCAGAGCGTGTTCTCTGATCAGACCTGGACACCTTCACATGACTCCTGCTGCCATCCTGTGTCGCCTGCTCTGGAGGGTGAGAGAATTAATCATGTTAATGCTTTGTGTTTTCTTATGGAAGATCACTTTTACTGTAACTTGTGTTTTTTCTGTACAGGTCGGAATGCTGGGGTCCCGCTTTGCTGTCCTCATGCTTTTCACACGAATCTTCAAACAGTGGATTTTAGGAGTTATTGGTGAGAAAAATATACAGAAATAAATACCATAAATGTGGTGTATGTACCTTGAATTTGTTTTAAAGATTTGGTTGTGTACATCAGGGGTCCACTGGCTTGGTGCGACTTTTTGGATGGTTTCCCAGCAGACAGACATTATACGATCCACTGCTCGATGGAGAGTGTTCAATGTTGTTTTGGGAGCCATCCATGTCTTCCTTTTCCTCAATGTGAAGTATGGCCAGTCAAGATATCGCATGGCTGGATTCTATTTGGTAAGAAGCACAATACATCTTAGTTCTAAAATATAGAAATGAGCCACTAATTTCAGCTATTGTTACAGGTAATGTTTTTGGAAAATGCCTTCCTTCTTCTGGCTTCTTCTTGGTTGTTTACAATGGTGTCATGGGATACAGTTGGCATACCTGCTGCAATCTTCTGCAGCTTCCTCATTGGTAAAAATCATTTTTTTTATTTTGGCACATACTGTATAATGGTGTTTTGATTCCCATTTCAACATTTTCATGGATTTTTTTTGTTCTTTAGGAGTTATAGCTTTAGTCCTATACTATCGTTTCCTTCACCCAAAGTCCTTCGAGATCTTTCAGAGTATTCGTCACAGAGGAATAGGTGGAGCCTGCATGGAACGTGGCTCTTCACTCACTCTCAATGAGAAAGATCCAGCTTCTTACCACCGACAAGCTACACTCTCTGGTGTGTCCTGAACTTGCAGACTTTTTGTATTTTGTAATAATAAATCTGTTATAACAAGCCGATATGTTATATGTAGGTGGTGGGACCCTGATGGACCTCCCTCATCAATGGGAGGGCTGGAGACATCATCACTGGCTGCTCATTCGCTTGGCCTTAAAAACTGGAGACGTACCCAGGATATGGTCAGCATATGGTGAGGGGGGTCTGGCGGGACTCATGGGTCTCTCGGAAGAAATCCATTCACCGGATCAACATCATGTCCCCCGGGTTTGTTACACTTATGATTCTTCTTAACAGTGTTTATACAAATGAAGTATAAATATATTCTTTTCTGATTTTAAAGGTTTATCCTATTCAGCCCCATGTTCCTGTTGTTCGCCCACCACCCCCACCACAACAAGTGGAGGCACCACAAGTACATTAACATTATAGGTGTATTTTTTTTGGTTAACTTAAATTAGTAATAATCACATTAAATATATATTGTGTTTTGGTATTTTTAGCCTCAAGAAATTGTCCAGCTGCCTAAGCCAGCTCCCAGCACTGTAATAGCCAGACCAGTGAGACAGACTCCTCCGACAACGATCCAGGATATCAGAAAATTTCCAGAGATTATTCCAGTCCAAGAGGCAATTCCAGAAGAGTCTGCAGAAGATGAGTCCAGCGCTGCTCCATCAGAAAGAGGTTTGAACTTAAACAAATCCTCTGTACAAAAGAATATTTACATGTGATTCAGTGTTTATTTGTGATATACATAAATTAAACATAATTTTTATTTTCTAAGGTGAAGATGACTTTCAAAGTGCTGCCTATGGCTCAGTTACGCCTTCCTCTCCTCGTGCTGGGAGCCTGCATCATGGTGACAGTAACGCAGCTCTGACTGAGGCCTCCTCCTCTGTGGCTTCTCTGGACATCAAGACTCCAGGATGGTCCCCAGAACGCCGCTCTCCACTCCTGCTCACTTCTCCAGAGAGAAAGCCAATCTTCCCAGTTGACACCACGCTATACTTCAGTGCAGACGCACAGTCGCCCTCCAGTGGGAGCTATCTGGGCTGGGGATCTGAGCTGTCCCCGATCTCCAGCTACAGGAGTCCATACAGGATTAGGGAGGCGCGTTTTGTTACATCCACCCCACGAGCGGAGCCAAGACCTGGGACGGAAAGCCCTTCTCCAGTTGTAGTCATCCCAGCCACCCCAGGAACCACCCCTGGGGTAACTCCATGTGGGACTCCTGGTACATCGACTCCTGTGGCTTCAACTCCGGGTGCTAGTACCCCTGGCACTCCCATAGTGCCCCTCACACCAGTCATCTCACATGCCCGAAAACAGATTGTTCAGTTCGTGGATAGTCGAGAAAGAATGGTGTAAAAAAAACAAGGTGACAGATAATCGAGCTTAATGTTTTAAGTTAATGAATTTTTATATTTGGCAGTTTGTGATTTTAAAATTATCAGTTTATATTTCAATTAATACTATATCAGTAGCTATTTTAATTTTGCTACAAAAATCTAAGTAAAAAGTATTACACAGGCCTGTATGAAGCTTATAATGCAGAATTTGATTGTATCTTTTGGAATTCATTGATGACAAAATGCAATCAATGTAGATTATTTCATGTAAACAATTCAAACAAAGCTGTAAAGACCTGCTTTAAAATACAAGCATTTTATTTAAAGTTGAAGTTGACAACCTGAAAGTTACAGTCTATGGGATTATCAAAGAGATTTCTCTGAAGAGATCTTAGTATTATTTTAGTGTAATGAGCATTAATGTAAATGGAACATAAAAACTGAAAGCATGCTTGCATAATACTTTGGTGAAAAGCCACACTTTGAAAACATGCTCATCAGATAGGTTTTATCTAACCACTTATCCAGTCACAGATTAGCGTTTACATATATGAACTCATCTTTACACTGATGGTATGTTACAGTTATCAAATCTCTCCTCACACTGCACTTTATAATTTTATTTAATTTTTTTCGTAGAACTATGGTACATGCCATACAGAAAGAGAATATAGACATTATTACTAGAAATAATTAAGAAAATATACATTACTGTTATAGCTAAATATTTATATACATGCTTAAAGTTTATAATAAATAAGTGTATACATACATACAAATAAACACAAAGTGTAAAAGGTATAGAAATGACCCTTTTCTATGTATTTTTGTTTTGGATGGTAGTTTTATTCACAAAATGTACTGTATACAGCAAAGGGACTGCAAATGTAAAATATTTACAATACTGTCAAAATGATCTTCCTTGAATGTTTGTTTTTCTATGATTGATATTGTTTTTGTATGGCCTTATTGTCATTGTGTGTTGTTGCCATCATACTCACAAAATCAAAGGAGATACATGTTTTACTGGTGCTGCCTCATAAATGTGCACTGTGATTGCTGATAGTCACTGCATGCTGCAATTGGAGTTACTGCCAGATTCACATGATCTCTACCCCACACACGCAACACATTCTAAAACGTAATATGCAGCTTAATGTAGCTTCCAAAAGTAAAAGTTGTGGCTCTGTTTCCGCATATTGTCCTGTGACTTCAACAACTTTCATTTTATTTTAAATATGATTATTATACACTCATTTATATTGGCATTCAGTCTTGATAACTGGTTTAGGGTTAGACAGTCTGATGTGTCCAGTGTGAAATATGGCACATTGTCTGCAAATTTACTATGGACTCTTCTTTAACCACTTGACTCAATTCAATTTTTGGATCTACTGGTTCACTAACTGTGCTATAATGAATCAATAAACAGATCTTTTGAAAAACAAAGTAATTTTTTTTTATTTCTAATGTACATACACTGCAGTCAAGCTGCATGCTACACATACACTTTCGCATTCAATTTATCAGCTAGTTAAGAAAAAGACTATCTGTCTCATAATTTGTCTTGCTGAAACCACAGTATTATTGCTAACTCATTAAAATTAGACCAATAAAGGGAACAGAAAATTCATTGTCACTAAAGATTTTCTCAGTGGCTGTCTCAAAAGTAATATTTCTCCTTTTACTTCAGTGTCACATGATCACCATTTTTAGCTATGGGCTATGTAATTGTTTACAAGAGCATTGAATTAAATGGTCCTTTATTATTCAAAATTGACTCTTATGAGCTTTAATCAATGTTAGAATGTTACCTCTTCAAAAACATACTCAAAATTGTGTTTTGTTTGAGTAATTCTTTATTATTAGTCTATCTACATCTCAGAAGTTCATTATGTTCTGTTCCACTTTGTGATGTCATTAAGTGGTAGTTTTCAAGTTAATAGCTACCTTTTACCCTTTGTTCATTAGAGATTGGCAGTTCAAGGGCTGAAATTATCCAAATGATTCAAGTGAAGGTGTGTGGAGTTTAAAACACAGTGGAGCACTTCCTGTAATACCCCAAGACATCACAAGGTGGAACAGAGTCTTCAGTTTGAGAGAAGATCGTGGCCTAAAACTACAGGTATGTTTTTGATGAGGAAGCAACATTATAAAATAGATCAGAAAATAGCAATAACAGCAAGACTGATGAACCCATTAGAAGCATGACTTGGCATATTTCAGTAAAGACCGTGGTTAATATGGGTAAATACCAGACTGTGGTAAATATTCATTGGCGCCCCTTGTGTCCGCTAACCAAAGTGCAGCCTTTCAAACAAATTCGCCTTGACGCCTCTTTACTAAATAAACAAAAAAAACAAAAAAACAGAAAATATATATATATATTCATATCATCATCATATCATAAAAATGCAATTAATCAACAATAAAAAAAACTAAATCAATAAAGAAAAATTTAAAGAAAAGAACGAAACTTAATACTTATTTCCTGGTCACATGAGATGCCTTCATATGACTAATCACGTGGTTTTGATGAATAAATGGCATAGAACCGTGTTGCGGTCAAGTCATTTCACCTCCACAGAAAGAAGATAGGAGTCTACAAAAACAGGTACAAAGTCTGAAATTTATCTCTAGAATAACATTTTATCTTGTTTATGCAGCCGACAGTGATTGAATGTGTCCTAGTTATTGTAGTAGTGTTAAAGAGGACGCCCTAAAACTGTTTACCTGCAAATCTCAGCTTTGTTTGTTTCTGATATTTTTGCTTCCGTCTTGCTAGCGTGACTATGCCTCCTCGCACTTCTTCCTTGATTCACCTGGTTGTTTTCACTGATGGTAACATGCCCATACCTGATCAGAGAGTTTACGAAGAGCCAAGAACCCAGCACACTCGCGCCTTATCAATAATAATTTCACTATAGCGTTTGAATCAATGCGTTTTGGAGAAATGTAACTAAAGACTAAAGTAACTGAACATTAGAGGGCTTGAGGCTATACAGGTCTAAAAGTGAAAGTATCTTTCCTGGATAACTCCCTTTAAATGAGTAGGCTACCGTCTTTTAGCCTATATCAGATAAAACTGGTAGTGGGAGAAAATCTGTCATGCTTGTAATATAAAAAGAAACAAACGATAAACCAACAAGCAAACCTGTGGGCCGCACATTCGCCAAGGTAATGTCTTTGTGGGTTTAGTGACATTTCTGAAGAAAGACTCAACATTGACACGGTGATTTTAGTGTATAATTTATCTTGGTCAAGATTATGATGCATGTAATTTTCCAGCTGTTCTTTTCAACTTTGTGTTGTAATTTCAACACTCTAATTTATCCCCCAATTTGTCCATTGTGGGACAAATAAAGGTTTATCATGTATGTCTTTTATATTGCCTGGTAGAGCAGACCACAGATATTTCTACTTGACTCTTATATTTCCATTGCATTTCAAGTGATTCAAATAAGGAACTTAAATGGAAATTCAACTAACACATTTTTAAACAGTCATGTGGTGACGGCTATGGTTTCACTTCTGACTTCTTAGACCTTTATCTTAAACCGAGCTGCTTGATTTGGCCTATGCCATGTAACAAACAACATAATGATATGACATGATGCTTAAAATTCTGCTTTCTCAAGTGCTGAATACTTGGTGCCGGATCTTGAAAATTTAAGTGCAAGAAAGTACGCTGACTTGGCTGGTTGAATAATTGCACTCGATGGGAGACAAGTGGTTTACATTCCAATTATTTACCTTTCAATACATTACATCTTGGGGATATTAACAGTTGTGAATTTTTTAGAGAAAATGTGGAAAGCAGCCTTTTTTGTATTGGCTGCCAGTTTGTCGGTGAGCCTGGCCAGACCTCGATTTCACCCACTGTCCAGTGACATGATCAACTACATCAACAAAATCAACACCACCTGGAAGGTCAGTGTCTGTTTATATTTACAAGTCAGTGTTTGTTTCATTGAAGTTAAAGTGAATCTTGGTTTCTCCTTCAGGCTGGTCACAACTTCCATAATGCAGACTACAGTTACGTGCAGAAGCTCTGTGGTACGCTGCTAAAAGGACCTAAACTCCCTGTCATGTGAGTTTCATGCATGAAAACAACTTAAGTTTGCAAGTCAACAACCTTCAGCCATTATTCACATTCATAGCAAAGAGCATGGGCCATAGAGTACAATTAAATCCTCTTACATTTCTATAGATGAGACCAATGCGGAGTATTCATTTACAGATTAAGACCAAGGTTTAATGCTTGTTGGTAAACTTGTTTGTGTTTTCTCCATAGGGTTCAGTATGCTGGTGACCTGAAAGTACCTAAAGAATTTGACTCCAGAGAGCAGTGGCCAAATTGTCCAACCATTAAAGAGATCAGAGATCAAGGGTCTTGTGGATCATGCTGGGCAAGTAATTTTGCTGTAGCTCATTTGCTTGTTGCATCAATAATTTTATGTTTTGTATTTCCATATTTGACTATGATTGTGCTGTGTAGGCCTTTGGTGCAGCAGAGGCCATTTCAGACCGTGTGTGTGTCCATAGCGCCGGTAAAATCAGTGTGGAGATCTCTGCTGAAGATTTGCTGACCTGCTGTGATAGCTGTGGCATGGGGTAAGGGGCAACATTGTTATTAAGGAATCTGTTCATTAAAAACAATATTTGAGAATTCCATTTGACAATGTCTTTAGGTGTAATGGAGGCTACCCTTCAGCAGCTTGGGATTTCTGGACTGAGCAAGGGCTTGTCACTGGAGGCCTGTATAACTCTCACGAAGGTCAGTGCGGTTTTGGCGCAGCAGCCTCTTAAATCACTGGAATAATAAACTGTGTTCATAATTGTGTTTGGTCTTTTCACAGGGTGTCGTCCATACACCATCCCTCCCTGTGAGCACCATGTAAATGGCAGCAGGCCTCCCTGCACCGGTGAAGGAGGAGACACTCCTGAATGTGTAGCGCAATGTGAACCTGGATACTCCCCTACATACCAAAAAGACAAGTACTTTGGTACGACCATAAATGTCCATAACAGATAACTGTTCTTTTACAATAAAACTGACTTCTTGCTTAAACAACTTGCAGGGAAAACATCCTACAGTGTGTTGTCAGACGAGTCACAGATTCAGGTTGAAATCTCAAAGAATGGTCCTGTGGAAGGCGCATTTATCGTCTATGAAGACTTTCTGCTTTACAAATCAGGTACTTCCCCAGAATGTTAATACAAATGTAATACATGCACTCCCCCTATAATGGTACTCATTTTAACAGGAGTTTATCAGCATGTTTCTGGATCTGCGGTTGGTGGTCATGCTATTAAGATTTTAGGCTGGGGAGAGGAGGATGGCGTTCCCTACTGGCTCTGTGCCAACTCCTGGAACACTGACTGGGGCGAGAATGGTGAGGAACATCCTTAACGTTGAAACTTTTACCAATGCTCCATGTTTTAACAATGACTTAAATTTTTGTCTTTAGGTTTCTTTAAAATTTTGCGTGGGTCAGATCACTGTGGCATTGAATCTGAGATTGTAGCTGGCATCCCAAAGTAGATGTAAGTAAAACTTAAATGTTTAAATGAACAGTCAGTTATTTTTTTCACATTGTACCTTTAAATTTAAGTATGTTGGCTACTTGGTTTATAAACATGTTGACCTTAATGGATGCCTGTTCACTTAAATATTTTCTACCCACAGGTTTTAACTGATATATTTTTGGGGGATTTCTAGAGGATGATGCACTCCCACATTTTACATGCAACATTATTTTAGTCATATATTTTTTAACAGTCTTGTTGTTCACAGATGCCTAAAATTAAACCATAATCTACATGATGATTGTTAGGGACTGCCATCGCTAGAGTATTGCCTTATTGCTGCCAAACAATATCTCCTAAATTAGCTGGACACATTTTTATGGCAATTCTTTATAATAGTATTTCTAATGTGTGCATATATCTTGGCTGTTAAGTGTTAAATTTTTGTTTTACTGTCACTGTAATGAAGCACTTCATGAGTGTGTAAAAAATAAATAAACTTTGTTTTTTGTTTGTTTGTTTTTTTTTATTTCTTTTGTACGAATTGTGTTCATGGATCTGATTCAATCTGGTTATGTTTGCATTGCCACAATTTCCGCTTTGGTGTCTATAAAAAGGAGAAGTGGGCTGGATTTGATTGTATCCTTAGCGCCCCCCTGTGGGATTATCATCCAGATATCCTGAACAAAAGACTTTGTTGGTTTCATTGTTTTATCACAATTATGAATCTAGACATATGGATGTCAAATTGTGTCCATGCATGTTCTCTGCAATAGCATTGTAGTAAATGCAGTAAACCCGTATTTATTACTTATAACACCACTCGGACGGGACATTCGCATACACAAAACAAACACTCCTTTCTAGACCTGCCCTCAGAGGTGGAGCTACTGCCTCGTATTCAAGGAACAACAGTGATATACAGTCAGACTGAACTATGGAGGGAGGAGGAAGGGTGTCCTGGTTTAAATATGGACCTGTAGTGTCCTTATTCGTAGTGTTTTTGGCTTTCTGGTTCCGCTCATCTGAACGCACTGTACTGGATGACCGGCTGGACACAGTTTTGTCCTCTTTACTACGCGCTGAACGAAAAGTCGGGATCAACAATGTCGCCAGACCTAAAGTAGCCATTGGTGAGTGCATGTGCTGTGTAAACCTCATCAGACTCGACTAGCCGTCCTGAATCTTGTTAAATCTATAGTTGTGTCCTCGTAGCTAAATGTTGAGACACTCTCTGTGTATTATAATGACCGAGGGTAACATGGTAAAGCTAATGTAAACAAATGTAGCCTATATCATAATCAAACGACGCATCAAAGAAACTGTAAAAACATGTAAGATTGTTTTATATATAGGGGGAAAATCCACTCCCTGACCTGTTGGAACCGTCCAGAGAGCTATAATCTATAATGGGAATAAATAAACCCCTTCTGCATTTTGGGGCTGTTTACTACAGTAAACTACTGAATCATGTGTGAATTGTGAGTTTTGACAGGTGGACCATTGTCTTGTCTTGTCTCAAGTCCGCTCAAGGCATCATTCTTACTCATTTGCATTTTGTTTTGTTTACCTAAAATAAACTGGTTTCTGATAAATGGTTTCTCTGTGATTTTACTCTTGAAATGTTTTCACAGGAAACAAGCTTAATGTGTTTAGCCGAAAATGTATAGTTTTTCTACAGTAGACAGGTGCTCCAAGGAGTACTTTTAGAGACATTTAATACAGCAGCTGAGGCTATATCAGCACGTGTAATTTTACAAGCTATAGGCACTCGTGCCTCTCATGTTGCTCCTGACGCAGCACGTATGTTATAGCTGGCATGCTTACACCCCAGCTCCATTGGCAGTGGCTGGTACTGTCTTGTTCCTGTGCTTTTTGTCTTTTATATGAATTGTTCTCCTGCAGGTTTTGGGGGCTGTGCAGATTTACTGGTGGATGGAGTGTCGTTGCTAAATAAGATTGGCCTAATTCCTTCAGAGCAACCCCTGCATCATGATTACCTGGAAAACACTGAGCAACTTGCTCAGAGCTTTGCTTATTTCTTTGCACCTGGAGCTGCTGCAGAGTAAGTGGTGTTAAGATCAGACAAAGGCAGATGTTCTTTAAATCAAAAAGACCCCTGCAGAATGAGCTGTTGTCCTGAATGCCACAGCCAAATCATATGCATTATTGATTGCTTGCTTTTGAAATTGAATGTGATTATAGCACTAAGTCTAACTTGGAATAATTTATAAAGCTGGACACACCCCAACCTTATTAGATTGTTTTTCTTTGGATAATATTTGTTAGTAACAGGTTTGTCCTGCTTATTCATGTTTTATCTGGTTTGTGCTTGTGCAGGCGCTTTATGATAAATGACACGCTTTTTAGTGAGTTGGTTGAAGCTTCCCGTGACCTGCCCGGTAACAGATGGTCAGTAGGGGGTAATGCCCCGGTAATGGCCGGTCGCCTGGCAAAAGAGGGATGTGATGTGTTGCTCGGCGGAAGCTTCAGCCCAGACTTTACTGATGTCCTGTCTGAGCATATTACAGGTACAAGCAAACACAACTGCCATTTAATATATTAATACAATCTAAATACCTTTTTTCAGTATGTGGTCACTGTCCTTTGACTTGAGCTCAAATGTAAATCTTTGCTTATATTTGCTGCTCTTTTTCAGTGGCAGGAAAAATACTGGAAGAGCCAGATATTCACCTAATCTTGGAATATCCAGTGGGTGCTACTTGGGGACCATATATCTCCCGTAGGGCTAATAGGTATAGGCCTCACTTGAAATGCTTATACTGTTCACATTTCACAGCTGGCATTAATAAGTGTTGAGTTTTGTTGTTGTGATTTTAGATACATAATACACAGTGATGATCATAATCCATACCTGGACTCAATGGAGGAATTTGCTAAGAAACTAACAGAGTTTAAGCCAGATCTGCTTGTAGTGGGTGGGCTACAGATGATGGATAGTTTCCCCTTCCAAACAGGTGAAAATACAATATGTTTTAACAGCTTCATTTATGTTGTTATTATACTTGACTTATTACTGTTTTTTCTCATTACTTCAGGTCAACGTGATTTTCTTCTATCTCGTCTGTCGGATCTTATTTCTTCCTCATCAGCCAAACTTGGTACTCACTTTGAAATGGCCAGTTTTGTTGAAGAAAGTATCATGGAAGACCTCCTACATTATGTTATACCTTATGTATGCATTGATATTCAAGAACCAATTGAAATAATTGCATGACGTTTGAATACATTTTATCTTCTTGTTCATAGGCTGATTCTTTAGGGATGAATGAACAAGAGCTTCCAAACTTGCTCAGCCTTCTTAAAGGATCCAACATCACTGTATTATCAGATCCAAATCCTCGTGTAGCCACTGTCTTGGACCAAATGAGGGAAGTTTATCGTATCCTTAACCAGCGCTACAAACTTGCAGTGACAACCGAAGGCGACCAAACTAGAATGAAGCCACTGACTCGACTTCATGTTCACACACTGGCCTTTCAAGCTATGATCGTCACACGAGGGGCTCAGTGGAAGAACACTATGTCAGCCACTGCCAAGGCCTCACTCACTGCCAACCGCCATGTTTGTGGATCTAATCATATTGATCTTAGTAAGGCAAGACTAATCATGGATGACTCGTTCTCAGTAAGCAGACAGGAAGGAAGTCAGCGCATCCCTCTTCAAGAAAGCAGGCCCGTGAGCTGCTGGCATGAACAAGACTACGAGATCTGTGTGGCACCTGTATTGGTTTGTACCGAAGTTTACCAAACAGCAGGTGGAGGCGATAACATCTCCGCTGCTGGCCTGGTTCTGCAAATCTAGTCTTAAAATGTGATTTAGGAAACTTGACATGCAAAATTACCACTGCTGCAAATGCAAGTATTGAATGTGATGCTGGTTACTTCTATACGGTCAGCATTAATGAGGATTTATATTTTCTTTGTGGTAGAATCAGGTCAACCCTTTTACAGCAACTCTGTCACTTGAAAAAACCTAGCCTTATTGCAACACTATAGCCTTGGGTCTGAGGGAACATGGTGATCTGGATAAAATAAGACCTAAATCAGAGTAGCAATGCATCACAATGTGACATCAAAGTTTGCATAATAGTTTTTTTATATATATATATATTTAAACCACTATGCAGCAAAATGTTCAACTGCAAGGACATAGATGACTATTTGACAACATAATAATTCCACTTACTACCTTTGTGTTTTAAAAGTGAATAGGAAACTTAACAAGGGGCAGCATAAAAGTCAACCACTGTTCTTCCCATTTTGTGAAAACATATTTGTATCTTTTGTTGTTTTTTTCCATTACATAAGGTGTGATATACAGCAGTGCAATAATACAAAAGCGTTGTTAAAAGACCACTGGTAGCTGGATATGTCAATTCAAGTTCTCTACCTCCTGCTCTTGTCTTATGCTGGTTCTATTTTATTATACTCTGGACCAAATGATGGAAAATCGTTGCAGTTGATTTGGCTTTGAGTTATACAAGTATTGTTTGATTTCATTGATAACGGGGAACAGGAAAATATGCTGCTAAGATACAAATCCTTGCAGAGATATAAAATAATATATTAAATGCATTCTATTGTTTATGTATGAGCCATTTTGAAGCAACTAGACTCTGATCAATAATACTTCTGATACTTTTTGTGGTAATCTTACATTCCGGTATGTGTGTATATATATTGGGTAATTTTAGGTGGAGTGTTTGTTTATTTATTGACTCAAAATCCCTGTAAATCACTTGTGTGAAAGAAATACCTGAGATTGTTTGGGTGTGTTAATTGCAAATTTGCCTTACTTGGATTGTTTTCATAAAGGGAGTGTTTACTTACTCATGTCTTTTTTTTTGGTATATTGAATCAAGTTATTCTGTAAAACTCAAATATGCCAAAAGCTTAAAAAATCTGTTGTCTAGTACAACTTTGTTATCATTGAAGCCTTACATAAGTCATATCAGCCATTTCTGTTCAGTTCTGATTGTTTCATGCATGTAAGCAGTTTGATGCAGATAAAAAAAAAACCAAAAAAAAACTTTGCTGAATTGGCTTAGTTTCTTTTCCTTTTGTGTTGACATATTTTGGCTTATTTCTATTGCCAGTTGCTGACAGTGGCCCCTACATTATCCTCTGAAATTATTTCTTTAGGCTATAAACAGAATCACTGGCATGCATGTGCTTTTAGTCCATGCTTTTTACTTTATATGTTTGAATGCATTTTGATCACATTTGTTATGCTTCAATTAAGGTTATCACAAATGTTTTAAGGGCCCATATTACACTGATTTCTGATCTATGTTATAATGTTGTTACCACATCACAAACATACTTAGAGTTGTGTTTTGCTGTATTCACACATGTTTAACACAGAAATCTCTCTTGTTCTTCTCTCAAATTGAAAACACTCTGGTCCACCTTGTGATGTCATGTGCTTATACAGGAATTGCTCAACTGTGTTTTTAAACTCTGTACACTTTCACTGGGCTCATTTGGGATGATTTCAGTTCTGGAATTGCCAATCTCTACTGAACAAAAGGTAAAAAGTAGCTGTTAACTTGAAAACTATTGCTTCATGACATCATACGGTGGTACAGAGCATTTTGAGCTTTGGAGATGTAGACAGACTAAAAAGAAAGGATTACTCAAACGCAAAGTCACAAATGTGATGAAACAAAACACAACTTCAGGTATTTTTTTGAGGAGGTAACTACATTATAACATGGCTTAAAACTCAGTCAAGAGTCAATTGCTGCATAATTTAGGACCTTTAAGAAAAAACACAAATAGTGAAAGGTTTGTTAAAAAAAAAAGTTTAACAAAACAAAAACAAAAAAATACACCTAGTTGGTTATATTACACAAAAACTATATGTCACTGTCAATAGCTAGTTCATCAATCAGGTCTTTGTAATAGATGACATTGTTCTTTTGGTCAGTGAGAGCTGTCAACATCTCATCCATTTCCTCCTGAGTAAATATCTCACCTGTGCCAGGCAACAGACAAAATAAGGCTTAAGGGATAATTTGCATGCTTCCTCAATGCAAAGAGACACATTTGTTTAAAAAAAAAAAGAAAAGAAAAAAAAGCCAACTGGACAGTTTTTACCTTGCTGCGTCATATATTTAGTCAGCTCTTCTGGTTCCAAATAACCTTTCTTCTCTTTGTCCAAAACCTGTCAAAATGCAATGTGGGACAGCTTGAATTTTGACAACATTAGAACAAAGTTTTGGCTGCTCAAATATGACTTAAAACACATGCGGAGCTCGCTCTTGACCTTAAAAGCTTGAAGAAGTCTATCCTCGGGGACTGGAGGGAACCTGTTCGAGAGAGCACACAGCATATATGCATTTGTTTTGGATTTAGATTAAAATGTAAGCTATTTCAATGTTTTTTATAAACTTAAACACACAAACTTTTTCTCTAGTAAAACTTTTGTCATGACAGGAAGAAATTTCTCCAGATGGACGTACCCAGTGTGGTCCTCCTCTACCTGGTTACAAGACAATGACACAGATCTCAGTTTATGTGCACAGTGGGTTAAATGATGAATAAACTGGTGTGCATTTACTTTAGTCTTTATAAACCTCATACAGTCTCACATCATTACACTTTTACATTATACAGTGTTTATGTATTTTACCTGTGCTATGAAATCGTGGAGATCTGCTTGATAGGGGAAGCAGCCCAGGGAAAAGATAATAGTACCAATCTCTCTAAAAACACAGGAGAAAAATTGTTAGCCTTCGTATTTCTTTCAGTGAGTGACACATCCAATGCAACCCTATACTTTATTGTATTTCCCTTTTGGCATACGATTGACTGTATTGACAAACATTTTAACTGAATTTACAAGAAATTACTAAGGTCCAGAGGTGGATCCATAACAATTATAACTTAGCCTAATGAGTGACTGAGTGAATGAGTGTTTTCACCTAACATCCACAGTGTTGTTAGCTTTGTAGTCAAAAGCTTCAAAAGCCGCTTTAATCTTCTTTACCACGTCTGACGCCATAGGCTCTGAGAGCAAAATAATATAAGCAGTTAGAAAATATTAACTGACCTCATTATAATGATAGTTATGTTTTACAAACCTGTGTTCTGCCTGTGCGTCGCCATTTTTATTTTAGTTTTTGTTACTCTGTTGCATAGCAACAGGGCATTTCCGACGCGACACATCCACGTGTCAGCGAGTTATTAAATGTATTTAAATGCACCAATAATTTACATTATCATTATAGTAGGAGCTCTTTGTAAGAAATATATGCTATTTAGATGAACCTTGACCTTGTTAGGTAAACTCACCTTCTCGGATAATTGGTCCTAAAATAGCCACATGGCATAAAAGAAATATTTAGGCCTATTATTTGGGTTATATGGTTTAAGGCTATACCATTGAGCAACATTTGTTGTGATTAAAATCACTAAGTAAGAATAAGAATTCTCTGTCAGTTTTATTCAATCTTTGAAGTTTATAGAAATGATTGGGATGCATGCAGACTGTAAAAAAACATTACCATAACAACATACCCTTCAAACATACATAACTACATAAATACACATCAAATCTAAATCCCATGTCTTTATATTTCTGGTTGTCCTTGGTGCACAGGTACAGCCACAGTTTCAGTCTGCTCTTCTGTTGCATCTTGTGTATTTTGTAGAGCGTGCTCTTCTTCTACTGACACAGGTCCACCCACTATCTCTGACTCTTCTTTTTGTGGATGTGTTTCCGTCTTAACCCCCACTTCATTCTGAGCACCCTCATTTTGGTCTTGTATAGCTTCTTCAAGCTTAATATTGTAAGGAAATGTAAAGGAAAGATTAATGTAAGATTACTGGAAATTTGAATACAAGTTTTGTCCAGGGGCATTACCTGTGTTTGAAGTAATGGAGGTGAAAGTAGCTCAGAGGGACTGAATAGACCATCGTGATTTAGATCCTGAGCTTGTAGTAAAAAGTCCACCAAAGACACCATCTACAAAGCAAATTGGTAATTAACTGTACAATGATGAAAAAAATAACAAATCAAACACATATCAATTTACCTCATTATATTGATAAACTACAGTAGGTTTATGAAAGGCATTGTAATCTGAAAGTAATTTTATCATCTCCAACCCATCCAGGAATCCACTGCGGTCATAGTCATGAAGACGCAAAAGGAAGAATACCTCTGGACAAAAAAATAAATAAAAAATAGAGCACGATAAAGGTACATGTACACGTTATACGTCTGAGGTCTAATAATAAGGCCTGAGATTTGGACCTCAAAACATTTCATTTTAATGTTGATTGTTAATATTTACCTTGTTCCTTGGAGTTGATCTCTGGTCTGCCCTGGCCCTCCTTCAAAACTGAATCAATGTAACTTTGGAGCAACCTGATAGTAATAGAGATGTCATTGTGATTTTAACACTTATGATATGGACTAAATAATATATGCAACCAGTCCCATGGTGACAAGACAAAGGAGAAAAATAAGAAAGTAACTGAAAAGATTTCTTATCATTTTAGTGAGATAAATGGTTCTAAATAGTTCTACAATCTTGAGTACTCTATCAGTTATGTTCCACAACCAAAGTCCACTAAGGTCATAAGGTTTGTTTACGTTGTATTATAAATGAGGATTCCTGATGCTTACCTGTGGCTCTCCTCTCCAGACTGGAAAGGATTGACCAGTCCAGCCGGGGTTTCTTCATTCCTAATTAACATTTGAGAACAATAAATTACCAAAAACAATAGTGTACGTTTTGCATGGGGCTAGTATCTAGATAATAATGCAATGAAAATGATGGTTTATCATCTTTAAGTTTGTTCCCTATTCTTTGATTAAACAAAAGGAATTATTCCAAATCTACCCCTGATATTAAGGAAGGTTAGGTTATATAAAGTGTGATGGCCTACCTCTTAATGATTAACTAATTGCACACAACAGAGGAGTGTGAAAGAGACGTTTGTGCCCATTGGTGTAACAGTTACCTGAGTGTTCCGGGTTGACCTGGGGACGCAAAGCACAAGAGAAGCAGCGAGAAACCGGACAGGACCGACCAGTTCAGAGATGCCATAATCTGAAGGCAAAATAAAGCAATGTATACACCAAAAACATATTAAGCCTTTTTGTCTGTTTTTAAGATGTTCGTTCATTAATAACTTGAATGCTCTATCCAGGCTTTAAATAGTAATGAAAATATGAACAAATCATAGGCTAAGCAACTGTAGCTATATGCATTCAACAAAGAAATGTGCCAAATGTTCTCTGAAAGCCTACCTTTAGATATTATTATATATATATATATATATATATATATATTTTTTTTTTTTTTTATAAAATAAAATAAAAATACGTAAACAGTGAATATTCTTCTGTCTTTAAGAGCTCATGTCTCCTCTGCAGCAGCACATCCGCCAATCCGCCCTTCGCGCTCCTTGCTGCAGTGCGCAACGCTGAGCTCCGGGCTCCTGCTCCCGCTGCCACGAAACCCTCGGCTGTTTTGGTCAATGACAGGGTCCACGTGGAAGGAGGTAGGAAAGGAAACTACCAGCAATGTTGCTATTGCGTCTGCGCAGTGCGCTCAAGTGTATTTTAACTTTTCTCCTGGCATCCCCACACCACGCGCCGAATGGTGCCAAACGGGCACTAAACTGCTGCTATAACCACTAGAACAAAATATTAAAATAGACTATCGTTTTGGTGACAAAATGATCTGTGTAACTAATGACCTTCTGCATGTTCAGTGTGGGTCATGACATACATGACAATTTAGTGCTTCTCAAGTAGTCTATGACCCTATAATAAAGATGGATATATAATGATGACAAGGTAACAGTAGGCTATTTGTTTTTCTTATTGTTTACTATTGATACACTTTGATATTTTAAGGGAAAACTTGGGAGTATTTTGAACTTTTGGCACTTTTCGAGGCACCACCACTAGATGTCTCTAAAACCTAATTAGGCTATAGCTTTAACGCAAAATGTAGAGAGGAATAGTGGCAACTCTACAAATTGCCTATTTGAGATTAAAGGTAGGATTAAGGAATACTTGAATGTTCATCATCATGGCTTTATTTTAACCCGTGGTGAGTGGTGAGCAGTAGTTGTAATATAATCCCATTAAATGTTTTCAGTCAAAATAGGAGGCTGCATAACACCATACATAGTTAATTAATTAACACATAAAATAATATGCATTTTAACAGACGTTTTTCTAAAACACTGCCTGGTGAATGATGTCAGGATGAACAATAATATATGTTTGAAATCAATAATAGTACATCTTTTTCTTAGACAAGAAAGACAAGTGCTATATTTTAAATTATTGATCTTGTATTTTTAGGACATCTATAGATTGCAAGGGAGAACTTCATTATTGTAAAGGCTTTTGAGTGAAGGTCAATGCCCTCAGAATACTTTATGATACTCATATATTACTTCATCCTTCACCTCATTGTGTACTTCAGGTCACGGGCTCTTGTTGCTCACGGAAACTAGCGTTCGTGCTGAAGCTGTTGACATCAGTCTCTGCTCCAGCATCTTCTCATTATTCTGCCATGCCTTATTTAGTTGCTTATTTGGCACACACTAAACCCATTAATCAGACATAATGAGTCCAGCCTGCAGTGGCCAAACACTAAAAACCGTGTACATTAAGAAAAAAGAAAAAAAAAAAAGGCTCTTGCTTCTAATACATAATGAATATAATGCATTTAGGGTTATGTGATACAGAAAAACTATATATCTATTTCCTATCCCCTCCTTGAACCGTCACCTTATCGTGGTGGAGGGGTTTGAGTGCCCGAATGATCCCAGGAGCTATGTTGTCGGGGTCTTCATGCCCCTGGTAGGGTCACCCAAGGCAAACAGGTCCAGGGGGACGGGTCAGACGAAGAACGGTTCAGAAGCCCCACATGATGAGCAACACACAGAGGTCAGTTACGTCGCCCGGATTGGCGTCACCGGGGCCTCACCCTGGAGCCAGGCCTGGGGTGGGTGCTTGTCAGCGAGCACCTGGTGGCAGGGCCTTCCCCCACGGGGCCCGGCCGGGCTTAGCCCGAAGGAGCGACTTGGGGCCGTCCTCACGTGGGCCCACCACCCGCGGGAGGAGCCATATGGGGCCGGTGCAGAGAGATCTGGGCGGCAGTCGACGGCGGGGGCCTCGGCGACCGGATCTCCGGACATGGAGACTAGCTCTGGGGACATGGAAATGTCACCTCGCTGGGGGGGAAGGAGCCTGAGCTTGTGCGGGAGGTTGAGCGTTACCGACTAGATATAGTCGGCCTCACCTCCACGCACAGTTTGGGCTCTGGAACCCAACTCCTTGAGAGGGGCTGGACTCTCCATTTCTCTGGCGTTGGCCGCGGGGAGCGGCGGCGGGCTGGTGTGGGCCTGCTCATTGCCCCACAGCTCAGCCGCTGTGTGTTGGAGTTCACCCCGGTGAACGAGAGGGTCGCGTCCCTGCGCCTTCGGGTCAGGGACAGGTCTCTCTGTTGACTCCTCTGCAGCGGATCGCTCTCTAGGTGCACGGGGACCCTCGCCCGTGCTCTCAGCCTGCGTGGACATCTTTACAGATTTACCACCGGTAGCCCACCAAGGTAGCACAGACAAAGACAGGAGACATGTTAAACTTTTGACAGGTAGCCACAATGCCTGGCCGCTCTGACATTGCAATCGTCACAGGAGGCTCCGCCTTAATTTGATAACCGCGTAACCTTGCGCACAACAATATAGTGCCCAACACATGAAGTGGCAATCATCGCACTCTAACACTCTCACTGTGGTGTCGGCCTACGGGCCGAACAGCGGTGCTGAGTACCCGGCCTTCTCGGAGTCCTTGGGAGGGGTACTAGACAGTGCACCGACCGGGGACTCCGTTGTTCTCCTGGGGGACTTCAACGCCCACGTGGGCAACGACAGTGACACTTGGAGAGGGGTGATTGGGAGGAACGGCCTCCCTGATCTGAACCCGAGCGGTGTTTTGTTATTGGACTTCTGTGCTAGTCACAGTTTGTCCATAACAAACACCATGTTCGAGCACAAGGGTGTCCATAAGTGCACGTGGCACCAGGACACCCTAGGTCAGAGGTCGATGATCGACTTTGTAGTCGTGTCATCTGACCTCCGGCCGCGTGTCTTGGACACTCGGGTGAAGAGAGGGGCTGAGCTGTCAACTGATCACCACCTGGTTATGAGTTGGGTTCGCTGGCGGAGGAGGAAGCCGGAAAGACCTGGCAGACCCAAGCGTGTAGTGAGGGTCTGTTGGGAACGTCTGGCGGAGGCCTCTGTCAGAGGGACCTTCAACTCGCACCTCCGGGAGGACTTCTCCCGGATTCCAGGGGAGGCTGGAGATATGGAGTCTGAGTGGGCTTCATTCTCAGCCTCTATTGTCGATGCGGCTGCTCGGAGCTGTGGGCCTAAGGTCTGTGGTGCCTGTCGCGGCAAATACCCGAACCCGGTGGTGGACACCTCAAAGAGATTCTGGCAAACCGTCCGGCGCCTCAGGAGGGGGAAGCAGTTCTTCACCAACACTGTTTACAGTGCGGGGGGAGAGCTGCTGACCTCGACTGGGGATGTTGTCCGGCGGTGGAAGGAATACTTTGAGGATCTCCTCAATCCCACCGTCACGTCTTCCGAGGAAGAGGCTGAGGCTGGGGACTCGGAGGCGGACTCATCCATCACCCTGGCTGAAGTCACTGAGGTGGTTGGCAAGCTCCTTGGTGGCAAGGCTCCGGGGTTGGATGAGATCCGTCCTGAGTACCTTAAGTCTCTGGATGTTGTGAGGCTGTCTTGGCTGACACGCCTCTTCAACATCGCGGCGGTCAGGAACAGTACCTCTGGACTGGCAAACTGGGGTGGTGGTCCCTCTGTATAAGAAGGGGGGCCGGAGGGTGTGTCCCTCGTGGTGTCCTGTGGGGGGTGCTCTGGGGGTATGGGGTTCGGGGGCCTTTGCTAAGGGCTGTCCGGTCCCTGTATGACCAGAGCACGAGCTCTGTTCGCATTGCCGGCAGTAAGTCAGACCTGTTCCCGGTGCATGTTGGACTCCGCCAGGGCTGCCCTTTTGTCACCGGTTCTGTTCATTGTATTTATGGACAGAATTTCTAGGCGCAGTCAGGGGCCGGAGGGGGTCCGGTTTGGGGACCACAGGATCTCATCTCTGCTGTTTGCGGATGATGTTGTCCTGTTGGCTTCATCGAACCAGGACCTGCAATGTGCACTGGGGCGGTTTGCAGCCGAGTGTGAAGCGGCTGGGATGAAGATCAGCTCTTCTAAGTCTGAGGCCATGGTTCTCGACCGGAAAAAGGTGGCTTGCCCTCTCCGGGTGGGTGGAGAGTCTTTGCCTCAAGTGGAGGAGTTCAAGTATCTCGGGGTCTTGTTCACGAGTGAGGGGAGGACGGAACGTGAGATTGACAGGCGGATCGGTGCAGCTTCGGCAGTGATGCGGTCGCCGTATCGGACCTTTGTGGTGAAGCAGGAGCTGAGCCGAAAGGCGAAGCTCTCGATTTACCCGTCAGTCTTCGTTCCTACTCTCACCTATGGTCATGAGCTCTGGGTAGTGACCGAAAGGACAAGATCACGGATACAAGCGCTTGAAATGGGTTTCCTCCGCAGGGTGGCTGGGCGCTCCCTTAGAGATAGGGTGAGGAGCTCAGTCACACGGGAGGAGTTCGGAGTAGAGCCGCTGCTCCTCCACGTCGAGAGGAGCCAGTTGAGGTGGCTCGGGCATCTGTTCCGGATGCCTCCTGGGCACCTCCCTCGGGAGGTGTTCCGGGCATGTCCCACTGGGAGGAGGCCCCGGGGAAGACCCAGGACACGCTGGAGGGACTATGTCTCTCGGCTGGCCTGGGAACGCCTCGGGATCCCCCCGGAGGAGCTGGAGGACGTGTCTGGGGTGAAGGAAGTCTGGGAGTCCCTGCTTAGACTGCTGCCCCCGCGACCTGGCCCCGGATAAGCGGACGAAAATGGATGGATGGATCTATTTCCTATTTACCCTCTGACCCCCTGTTTGATCACAAACTGTATTTTATGTTTCTTATTAAAAACAAATAAAAGGCTTTCATGTGAGTTTCGTGAGCAGGAGACAGATCATCCGTACCATTTAGCACTAGTAATTATCCATCAAAACTAGTCTGAACTCTTCCCCAAACCTCATATCTTCACTGACTATGAGTATAAGATGGAGAACTCTTGATTACCCAAACCAGTCTGAAACAATTGAATCTCATTTTAATCAAAACTGTGTTACTGTAATTGCACAACCCTAAAAAATTAGTTTTCACACAGTCAAAAGAGCCAGCAGGGTCAGGCTGGTGCGTGACTCATTACTTCACAGCTGGCTGGTGCCTAAACATCCCACTGACACTCACTTACAGGAAGAAAGATTAGTCCGTAATTGTTAACATGAGCTTCTGCCTGTGGTGGCAAGAGCCGCATGTTCGATTGTAAACTTTCTGATTCTTATAATAAAGACCATCATTTC